TTGACAACCATGCTAAGTGAGCTGAATTTAAGATTATACAAATGTGACTTAATAATAGAAGATATAACTAATCTTAAAGTGCTGAAACCAAGGCTTTATAATTTCACTTCAAGGCACATTTTATTTGTACAAAACTTCATACTCAACACATTAGTGAAGTCGCAAGGAAGCGAGAGGCTTTCACAACTAAAGTCGAATTCATGAAATGCAGAAGGAAATAATTTAGAAAGCTTTTCTCAAGATTATTCCACATTGTTAATTGCAATTTCTTCTTCTCGAGTGCAAAACATGATCCACAGTGTGAAAAACGCATGCTCATTTCTGATTTTCTCCTGCAGAGACTCGTTAGAGTGCCATAGAGAAATTACTGGGGCAATGCATGTGGAGTTCCTGTGGAGCTTTTAATATAATTTTCATGTTTCACAGTCTCAATACAAGTTGCTTAACATCAAACACTTCCATGGTTCGGTGCTCACAACATGAAGAAAGAAAGGGAGCCTCTTTCAAGCGAAGCGAACTTCATTCCTCCAGAGTCCTCTTATTGGATCTAACTCGGTAAAGAGACTCCGTTCGCGCAATAAATACTCCGCATTGGCCGTTTTGCTGCACCTGCAGCAACATTAACCAGATGAGCGGAAGCTGTGGGTTGAAAAAATGGAAAAGTATCACATTTCTCGGTGATTTGCATTGGGGTATGAAATGAAACTTTCCGGATCAATTTTCTGCGTCTTTTGTAGAACATTTTCACTTCTTTCATGTAACATATCTGGGCTCCGTAACCCGCACGAGAAGCTATGTAATATGCAAGAGGCGTTTGTTGCTGGAACACCTCCTATTCAGTGTTGCGAAACACGTGTCACAATTACTGCACCATAACCCAACCCCAACAATAAGCATTTACTTTGTCCATAGTATCTGGCTTCCATCCTGCGTCAAATTCAAACTCACATTTGTGGAAAATTAATTGACATCATGGAACTTGGATGTTCTTGTCTTGAGTCTCAACATGTATTCTGTGCATTTACGACGGTGTCTCTCTTATTTCACCAATTCTCAACAGAAAATTTGTGGTATCAGTGAACATGAGAAACCTTGAAAATAATAGACATGTCTCTAGAGCAACACAAACTTTTGCAGAAGAGTTTGCAAATTATTATTATGTAATGAAATAGGAAAATACAGCAACGAAGTATTTAACTATATGGTACAATATTTACTTAGCTTCAAAATTCAAACATATTAAAAAGCATTGCTCTTGAGAACTCGCGGTTACAATGAATATGTCATTTTGTAACTCATAGCAACTAATGCAAAGCCATAACCAATGAGCTGAAAATTAAATTACATTACCAACAGTAAGTATTATTAATTATATGTAGTTAAATGTGATCTGTAAATGAATTTGAAACACACCCAGATAATGTATAGCAGAATAGGTTTTCATTACCAGCTTGTAACCGGCATTGAATCATGAATAAAATATCGCAAACATGCTAGAACATAGATACACGTTGAAATGACGCTAAAAGAGCATGAGAATGATTATGTGCACATATTGAGGTATCATTATGCAACATTTGCTAAACCGCCGAAACCACCCAAAAGTTCACCCACTTAAAATTGATTGCAATTGAAGAACATCAAATGCAATTTTTGAATTTAATACACATACAATGCATTTCTATACATGAACTCCCACCGAGCGGTAAAATACATTAGCGCATATCGAAAAATATGAATATTTCAAGAGATGCTGCATAATGAAATTCCATTCACGAGTAAATTGTTCGATAAATGCACTATGTAGGTCAAAAAGGTCCGATAAGTGAACTGGAATGATTATATCAATGTATAGTGAGTGGCCATAAACACTGATTAAAATTTAATAATTTTTGAACAATGCCAAATACAAAACTTTAATGTAAATCCACAATAATACAAGCAATACCATTAATCTGTGTATTTATCACCTGTAAATATTGCAATTCAGGATTTAATAAATGAGACCACGCTTTTTTGCCAGAGCCAGCATTTTGATAATGAAAGCATCACATAGAGATAAATGCGCGTGTATATAATTGATTTCAAACCGATTACATTTTATTTAATTAAGGAAGATCGTTCTATTTACTTCACGAATTTCGTTTTAAATTCTCCTGAAACGACCTGAGAAACATGTCTCGAAATTATAATTTAAAATACCTATTTTTCTCAGTGTAGACGAAATATTTCTTCACATAGTGCTACAAAACGTGTTTTCAACAGTACATTTGATTGCAATTATATTTTATCAAAGACTGATAGTAGCTTTAACTTAAACACATCGGGAAGCCGGTCTTACATAATAACCAATGTGAGCGGGTCTGTAATCATTGACCCATTAGCATTCAGAGATTTTTCCACTCACTTTTCATGTTTTGATAATAATAAAAATCTCTGAATTGTGTTTAGTCAAAAAGAGGAACCAAAAAATGGACATGACTGAAGAGTCAACAATTCAAAAGATTAAAAGCAAATATTGAAATATGTATTTATTATGTGAGGAGGAATCCAATAAACTCTATTTGAATGTGGTTAAACTGGAATGATAGTTTGCACAAAAAGACCAAACTGAAGACGCGAGTCTGATAAATCTATGAAAATATTGTCATGAGCATAATTTTGACGATGCGAGACAATGACTGGTTAATTCAAATGACAATGAAACTGAACTCTAAGCAATAAAAGAGACCGACCTAGACACTGAAACCTCGTCAGTAGATTAACAGGTTTCGCCACTCTCGAGAAGAATCTTTGCATAAAAGTGAGCATTTATTTATTCACTTAACATCAGGGTTCTGAAAGAAATGTTCTTTATATTTGCAAAATACAACTTGCGCAATATTTAATTGTGCATCCCAAAGAAAGTGATTCACGAGCACTTGAATTTCTAAAGCAACCACTTCTCGGAATACAATCAATCCGGATCACGCTTTTTGCCAAAGTTGGAGTGTTTTTCATGCATATTGTTTTCTCTGGGATTTCCGTAATATTTAATGTCTGTCACCCGATAGAAAATTATCGCTCTTTTTGTGTGTATTTTTCCAATAAAAACAACTGTCACGAAATCTATAACACCTTAATTATTTTTGCCTGCTAATTAGAATTAGAAGTACTTTTCTGCGAAGAGGTGCGCCGATCGTCACTGCACAATTGGCCCTCCAAATACCGGCAGCTGGCACAATCGAGGCATTCGTGCTACCATAAAAATATCATTATTGCAGAAATCAAGCAAAAAGCGTTTGGAACATGTTGGAAGAAGTTGTGACGATTGGAATTGAGAAAAAACCCAGTGATGTGGTCTTGTGTATTTAAATTAAATAATAAATTGTCCGTAACGAAGTGGCCGGCTGCTGTATAAAAGCGTGATATGATCGACGAAGATGCTCAGTTGGTTCTCGATTTTCAACTCACGCGCTTCGTAAAGCTTATTTTTCCACAACAATTTCAGTGTTCAGTGCAAAATAGTGATTATAGTGGAGGGAAATATCAAAATGGAATCCCAATTCTGTGAGTTTCACTCTCATGAATCGATAACAGTATTTTTAGACCGATAGATTCACATTCTGAGCCATCGCGAAGTTCAATTATCTGATAAGAAGTTTTCTTCTGCACGATAACACACCAAGTGAAAATGATAACTCTTGACTTCCCAATAAAAGCACATACCTTAGGGACCTTGCAAACCATTTGTGTTCCCACGACAGTGCTGTGAAGTATTTCCGTGCATTCATAATATCTCTGAGGTATTGCAAATTTTCTCTATCAATGGTAAAGCTGGTAAATTACAAGTGGAGGTCAAAAGTGCTCAGCTTTAGAGTGAAAGTTTGCTTGGCAGATTATTAAGAGAAGAATACTAAATTGTGTCAAGTAGCAAACGTCGTTTAGCTTTAATGGCTTCAACAAACATTTTAACGGTATTAACCCTCCCTGTGGTGAACAAATCTTGGAAAAAATATTTTTCACGATAGTGCGATTGTGTGTGATTTGACTGAAAATTGTGATTTTGACATTGAAATGCAAAATTGAAAAAGTTTTAGCTATAAATTTCCTTCTCATCATTATTATCACTTTCGATTTCTGCTTGAGCATCTGTTATTCGGTTTTCCAATTCTTTCTTAATGAATACGATTAAAAGAGTGTATAATTTTGCAAAATACTCGTATCGATCTTTCTGGTTAGAGAAAATTCTCTATTTTTAGCGAAGATAAGTTCAAATGTTCACGACAAAGATAAAACCCAGATTTTAGATAAGATTCTTAATATGTATTAGCACATTCCATTATTTTGATGTGTGCAAAGACCAACAATCTCCACAGCCTTAAATTTATTCCGATGAAACATTTTCGCTAAACGAAGGGTTAAGAATTAAAAATGATAAAATATAATTCTACTTGTAGTGATTAGTCATTTGCACTATATTACGTCAATAAAACAACATTCTGAGAACTATTTTAATTGTTATTGTTTTCCCATTTACTTTGTGACTTCATTGTACATTTTTTTTTACTATTTAGTTCTTATCTGCGCACCTAAAGCGCTCGATATAGAAGAATTATCTATAGCACATTAATATAATTTAATTACTCCGTAATCAATATTTTTAAAATTATAAAATACTTATGGAAAAACAGGGAAAACCCTGTAAATTTTTACTGAAAGATTTTGAGAGCATTTGTGTCATATTAACAGCTTATCTGTACAGTTTTTTATGATGAAATTGTTGTAGACAAAATAATTTAATTGCTTACTGTCATAATCAGTAACTTAATTACATTTTTTGCGTGAACGTGAAAGGGGAAAAACAATTATCGGAAAAGCGTGGCGTAGAGATTTGAAAAGAGAATTTGGTCATGTTGATATGCATGCCCTCTCTCACTTCACGACGAAAAGAATTCAAGGCCGCCGCTGTCACTGAACGCGAGCCGGGGAATTTTATGCGTCTTTCATGTAAACATACGCCCCATATACAGTGTGAATCACCAGCGTTGCCAGCACGGAATTGCGTCATTTTTAGCGATAAGTTTTGCGGCATTCGATGAAATTCAGTCTATTGGGAGTGCTCAAGGGAATAGCATCTGGTATACTTACGTTCTGTCCACAAATCTAACGTTAATCCTGAGAGTGAACTGAGTGCACTTTGCTGATATTTTCTGTCCTTTTCAGTGACTACTTTTGTTCTCATACTCGCAATATCCAGTACAATGGCCGATCCAGTCCCAGTGTCCAAGGGCTTCTCGAAGTTCGCCATTCAGCTGTACCAGGAATGTGTAGCTGAGAAGGGTGGGAATGTCATCATCTCCCCGTTCTCCGTCCAGTCGGCAGTCTCTCTGGCTCTGATGGGAGCCACCGGCGACACTGCCCGCGAGATGGCCACGACAATGGGCTATGCAAGTGCAGACAAGAATGCCATTGCGGACAATTTCGCCAGCCTGCTCACGACGTACAAGGACAGTCCTCTGCTGAAGATTGCCAACAAGGTGTATGTCATGAACAAATACCATGTCAAGGCGCAGTTCAATGAATTGGCCACCAAGAAGTTCAACTCTGAGGCTCAAAGTCTGGACTTTGCTGATAATGTCAACTCGGCAAAGACCATCAACACCTGGGTTGAAGACAAGACGAATAATAAGATCAAGGATCTGGTTCCCAGTGACGCTCTCAACTCGGACACGAGGTTGGTCCTGGTCAATGCCATCTACTTCAAGGGATTGTGGGAGAACAAGTTCAAGCCTGAGAACACCAAGAAGTTGCCTTTCTGGACCACCAAGGACAACTCTGTTGATGTCGATATGATGAACACGAAGGCTGTAAGTTCCTGATCTTCATGTCTATGATTTTCATTGCTAACATTTTGCTCCCTTCAGGACTTCAAATATGGAGTCTTTGACGATTTGGACGCTGTGGCCTTGGAGATGCCTTACAAAGACTCCGATCTGTCCATGTTGATCATTCTGCCGAACCAGCGCGATGGCCTGCCAAACCTGGAGAAGGCTCTCAGCGGCAAGGATCTGTCTGAGATCACGAGCCAAATGTACAAGACTGAAGTCATTGTGCATCTGCCCAAATTCAAAATCGAATATGACATTGAGCTGAACAAAGTTCTCTCCAAGATGGGCATGGCCAGAATGTTCAGCGATGCTGCTGAGTTTGGAGACTTGCTGGAGGAGGCTGATCCACTCAAGGTGTCCAAGGTGCTCCACAAGGCATTCATTGAGGTGAACGAGGAAGGTGCCGAAGCAGCTGCAGCTACTGGTAAGTCCTTTTTATCATTCTTCCTCTCTCTTTTCCAATGCACGACTCTGTGGCCTGACTTAGGGGGCGTAGTCGCATTCTTTAAATGAGAATTCACCTTCTTGTAGCATCATTTTTATTAATTTACATTCTTTCCCATACTCACTGTGAAATCCGTCTTTCTCCAGGAATGAAAGTGAGACTAAAGCGCAGTCTCATTGAAGGAGAGCTTTTTATCGTGGATCATCCATTTATGTTCTATTTGATGTCCTCCAAGGATAATTTTGCAATCTTTGAGGGGAATCTCAGGGATATTCCCAGTGATTCTGTCTCTGGCCACGATGAACTCTAGAGACATTCCACATTTCTATGATAGAGAATCTCGAAATAAACGCATTTTGTAATGACTTTCATGATAATATTTCTCAAAGTACAAGACTCTATATAAAAATAATGCTTGCGCGCTTGCGATCAAAGATTCAAACCAATTCTATACCGTTTCTCAGGGGAGAAAAGAGATGGAATTACCACTGGTTTAAATTAAAAATATATTTTCGTTTCTCCCATCCAATGTTTATGTAAAGCACAAACTCACCTGAAGAGTGTTGTAAATTATTGATTTTGTGCAGCATTTCGCATGTTTACGTTGTATTCCCAAAATATTTACAGTCCAATAATTTCAGCGTAATTGGTTTGCTCCTGTTGTCTGTGTGCATTGAAATGATGAGAGTTATATCTCTAAAGTTCTGCTTTCCATATCTCTACCACATTCACTTCACCATCATACAACAATTTCGAGTGGTTATTCAGGTTTCAATTGACTGTGTCATAACTCCACTTATGCTTGGCTGTAATTTAATTTGCAATAATTGTGGCATTTCTCGTTCCTTTGGCAAACATTAAACCAATTTGGGAAAGACAAATGGAAATATCTCTGCTTTACCTGCGCTCAGATTCAATTTGTATTCTACAAAACACTTCACGAACTTTATCTCTACAATTGAGTTGAAAGACGTACTAAAGATTTTCTCAGTCCAATTTAAGTTTCGACTTATAATTCACAGCATTTGTTATTGAAACGGAAAGTCTGCGAATTTCTCCGAACTTTCTAGTAAATCATCCGTTTCTGTTCATCATCCGAGAGGCTTCTTCTACTTTTTTCGTTGGTTCAATCAGAAGACTTATAACATAATCCATATTACCTACACAAGAAATAATAAGATTGATGAATTTGATGTGTAATTTGGCAAAGATATATATATATATCGATACATTGTGTATCTTTTCATATACTCCACAGGTGTAGTGATAGTTTTTAAGACAGCCCGTGTTTCTCGCATACAACCTAAATTTTTCTTGGCTGATCGCCCATTTTACTATTGTATTCAGAATAAACGTGAACAAGTACTTTTTGGTGGAAGACTTGGGAATTTTGAATGATTCCTGCAACTTTTTCCTCAAGGTGTTAGATTATAGATTAAATAAATGACTTTTCTGAGCTTCAATTGGCTTTAAAATCAGATTTTATTTATTCTTCTTTGATAACAGTTTAGTTTTTTTTGGTGAATTTCACGTGCTTTACAAAATTTCAGTGATTCTGCAAGATATGGCGCTTTCACTATTGGATTATGACAATCCTGCAGAGTTGTTGGCTGATCATCCATTTTATTTTGCTATTTTGAAAAGAAATGATCTGTATTTTGCAGGTTCGATTAAAAATTTCTAACTAAAACCCAATTACTTGTAAATTCTCTTTCTAACTTATACATAAAGTTTCACCTCTCGCGTGTCACACGTTTTCCAATATGCAATAACTTTTCCTCTAATTGGTGGGATGGTTTAGTTGACCTAGGGTGATCAAACTTAAAGTGAAAATTAAAATTGTTTCAGGGATCGTAATTGTACCGATTTCTTTGGATTTTAGAAGAGTAGAACCTCCTAAATTTGTGGCAGATCGCCCATATTTCTTCGGTATTCTGGAAAGTGACAATCTCTACTTTGCTGGATCAATAAGAAAGTTGTGATTGTATTTTGTTTTGCACAGCTACCTCATTTTTTAAGAGAAATAAAGTTTCTCGACTGTATTAAGTCAACTTTTTATGGTTTTAGCGGTGTATATTTTTGATAAATCACTTTATATTTGTGAGTTTTCCACTGTTCACACATTTTTCCTGTATTTCCACTGAAAATTGAATCAGAAATCTAATTCTCATCCAGACTTTGAGTCATTGGACGAACTTTTATTGCTTGAATCGCTTGATTGATCAAAACCATGGATAAACACATCTTTGTGATTTTGTTTATGGTTTTATTTTAAATAAAAAATGAAAGAGTATTTGTACTGTTACAGATGTTATCTTTGTGCCAGGATCTTCTGCTATTTTTATCCGAGAAACAGAATTTTTTGCTGATCGGCCATTCTTCTTTGTCATTCGCAGCAAGAATTGTGAAAATGCAATTTTTATTGGAAGATTTTCAGATCTTAATTAACTATTTACTTAGGTTTCATATACAGAAAATAAACGATATTTCTGTAATATGTTTTCCAAACTAGGAAGTCTTATAAACTCCAATTGAAATACTTGGAAAGCTTTCATATTGTGTTTTATGCACGAACGAGATTGAGTTTAGCTCGCAAGAGTAAACCATTTGGTTCTGCAAAATTAATTTGTGGCTACTTTTACCATTTCAGCTTTCATCATGAAATTCGGATCTGCCCCTGGTCCTGTTAGAAAATTGAGATTCACTGTAGATCACCCTTTCTTCTTTGTTATTCGTAGCGAGGGTTGGGATACTTCAATTTTCAGTGGAAGTGTCTCCAAATTGCTTTAATTATTTGGAATTTTCTTTCGGTTATAAAATTTGTTGATAAAATTATTCAATTATACATGACAAGATTATCCCAAAACATATAATAATTTCATGATATTGGTTTTTCAAATAAATAAAATATTCTACATTTATGCATAATTTCTCTTTTTTCTCTTTCTACTATCCCTCGAAATGCATTTCATTGTAATCTTCTTCCTTGGTTCTTATTCAAATTTTGAAATTCAGAGGTTTCTTAAATCGAATTTTATGCATTAGATCCCAATTTCTGAAATTTATGACTCTTATGGAAGGTCTTGCAGTGGTGAGCAAAGTAATTGGGCGTTATCTCCACATCTACGAAAATACACGAAAATCCTTTCTAGTTGATGTAGGTTTAGGTGAATTCGTAATTCGTAGTGGCAGTTGGCAGATATGAATTTTAGTGAGAGTGTTTCCAAGTGGGTTTAGTTTCTACATTTCTTATTTTTATTATATGGGCAAAATGATTTGAATTGTCAAGACTTGACTAGATCGCTAGCAAATATTTGATTTCACGGCGTTTTCCCTCGTTCTTCAAACAAATTATATTCCACTGTGTATTAATAATCTTACATACATTTGATGAATACTCAATACTTCATTTGAAAATAAAATTTGTGAATAATAAGGTCGATTTGTGTTCTAAAATACGTTAATCAAATTATTTTCGGCTAGTTTATTTATATTTTTGGAAATATGGTTTCTAAAATTCTAATAAAATTCCATAGAATTAATTTATGGCCAATTTTACAATTTCAGCTGTCCTCATTGCACTAGCATCCGCTGTTGTTCCTGCCCGAGAATTAAGATTCAATGCAGATCATCCCTTCTTCTTTGTCATTCGTAGTCAGTCTCAGAGTACGCCCTTCTTTAGTGGAAGAGTGTCAAAGCTGAACTAACTATTTCAATATCTCTCGAGAACTTTGGCCATAATGCTAAGTGATTCTAACTAATCTGATGGATAATTTGATGTGATAATCGTAAAATTGACCTTGATAAACCTTGAATGTCGCTATAAAATAGTCTTCAAGTTGAGAGAGAAATTTGTAGCTGATCATTTTTTTTGCTATAATGTAAAAGAATTGAATATGTTCCGCAGGATCAGTAGGGAGTTCTAATTTGAAGTGAAGTGTTTGATAAACGATCTACCTCAATTTATTAATAAATATACTCGCATATGCATTGTTAACGGATTAGTTTTCTCGTTGGTTGGAATTATTCTGGAATCATTTTGGTACAAAGGTTACGGATTGGTGTCAAGTATAATTTTCTGTGTATTCCGCAGGTTTAACTTTTGTCAATTATTCGGCTCGGTTGTTTGAAGATAAATTCACTGCTGATCATCCGTTCTTCTATGTAATTTTGCGTGCTGATGGAACTGGACTTTTTGTTGGAAATGTTCAAAAGTTCGAATCCTAATACTCACAAAGATCTGTGCTTATTCAATAAATATGTCTTTTATTTGAGATGAATTGTTTTCAAAGTATTAACTTACATCTTTCCTACATTATTACCACTCTTTATATACTTTTTACTGGATTTCTTTTGTGATTGTGTAATTGGGATTTTTTTCTTGGTGTATTTTGAAGAAAATGTTTCTGTTTTCCACAGGATTTGTGATACACTCAAGAACAGCACACGTGGCTCTGTTTCAAAAGAGATTCAATGCTGATCATCCATTCTTCTTTTCAATTACTTCAAAATCAAGTGGTCCAGTTTTCAGTGGAAGCCTTCGAAATTTCTAATACTAACAATGTGCCATAATACAGCATACTCTGTTAGAAATACTCAACTTCCCAGAAAAATCTTTTGTTTAAATTTTGTACAAAAAGTAGTAATTTTCTTGAGATGTTTGCTTCTTAAGTCAATTTAGTAGAGAATATATTATGGTTGTGGAATCAAAACATAAAATGTTCTCGTCGACATTTCGTAGTGGATAAATCATATTCGTCAATTATAACACTACGCCTTTACGAAGAAGAGTTTCGGTGCGAATTAGACCGTGGTAAAAATTTTCTTATAGTGTTCATATATACTAAAGTACATAAATTTACTTTTTTACACTCGACAAAATATGAAAATAGATTTACGACAAATTACAATGGATTATTCTTGAAATTATAAATTTACCTAGACTTCTAATGGAAGTAAATTGAAAATAAATTACTTGTTGATGAACATATTATAATTTTTAATTGAAATCCCTCGAGACTGAGTACATTTTTTACCAAATTGTCCTGTCATCCAATATGCATGTTTTACATACAGTGTAGTTTTCAGACTGAGTGACAAATATTGACATTTCTCCACAAAGCTTTTGTTCTCTGTTTAATTCAACATATTGGCATTAAATATTTGCATACGAAATACACACCTACAATATTGATTGTACATACAAAGTTAGCCAAATTGTACCACTTCACCATACACTTTATGTTTAACTGTGGTAGAGGAAGTTCAAACAATTTGTTCTAAAATTTACTCTTTTATAGGTTTTGCAATTGGTTTGCTATCAATTCGTCGTGAGATTGAATTCAACGCAAATCATCCCTTTATATTCATCATAAAGTCCAATAGTTTGACATCTTTTATGGGTGCTGTAAGAGAATTTTGAGACAAGATTACTCTGTCTCTCTCTCTCTCTCTCTCCCCCTATGTGACATGATGGCAAATAAAGCATATTCAAATTATACGACTTTCCTCAGTTCGTGTTCAACTGGGTGTAGTAAATTGGAAATATTTACATAGAATCATACAATTTGGTCTTTTACAGGTTTTATAAAACTAATTTGGCATCACTTCCAGATCAATTTGATTACAACGAAAATCATCCCTTTGTATTTGTCATACACTCCGATAATTTGAATATTTTTATTAGAGCTGTATATATGACATAATATCGAAAGTATATGTCACAAAACATTTGACAAAAATCAATCGCAATATTTTAATAAGAAGGAAGAAAGACGATTTCACAGTTTTTCACTCTCTGTCGTGCTTCTTGACGCAATAAATGTCGCTTTCATGTGCAATTTTACTACCATCACGGACTTCCCTGACCAACTGTTCTCTTGACTCTGTTTCAGCGGTCCTATTCATGCGTTGCATGGTCATGGATCCCACGGCCTTCAATGCGAATCATCCATTTATGTATGCATTGACAACCCCGAGAGAAATTCTCTTTATCGGCACCTACGCAACAAACTGATAAGTGTTTCACGCTGAACAAGAAACATGATCACTATTTTGCACAACACTGAAATTGTTGAAGAATAAATAAGTACACACAAGAAGGTGAATTCCCATTATTTATTGTCATTTGTCGTGACTTTTCGTTGTGTGATGTCAAATTATTAACTATGCAATTTGTTTCTAAAATATTCAAAATGAATCTTTCAGCACTTGCGTGTTTTGGAGGGACTAGTGCTTGGGTTAAACGTGAAATTGAGTTTCGAGTTAATCAACCCTTTTTGATTTTTATTAAAACTACTAGACATGTATTCTTTGTAGCGTCACTCAGGCATTTCTCATGAAAATCTCCTGCGTGAGATGTTTGAGAAGAGAATTACTACATTCATAAAATTTTGTGTCGATGTGCTTCTCACTTTGAAGCAGTTTACGCTGTATTTTATGAGCTTTCGAGAGCTTTTGCATTGCAATTTTGCAGAAACTTGTGTTTGAAGCGTATTTAATGAAGTGCTATATAGTGTAATTTGAGTATATGATTTTTCCCACAGCCGTCTTAATAATGGCCTTTGCTGCTCTCGTTCCGGAAGAAATTGTAGTTGATCATCCATTTTTCTTTGCAATTGTGGACTCAAAGACACCAACACCGTTTTTCAGTGGATCAGTTGCAAAAGAGAATTTTCAGTAGAGAATGAGAAAATATTTCGCATACCAGAATTGTATTTGATGTGAGGTGAAATAAACCAAAAATTTCACGCCAAGTTTGAAATTGTTAACATGTATATCATGAAATAGTTGAGAATATTTGGAGGGCAACAGAACGGTGTGACCAGGCAACTGTTCATTGGAGCTTGACAGCAGGTTGGAGTCCAATTAGTGAACTTTGCAATTTCCAGTCCTGTCCTGTGCACAAAGAGGGTGAAATTCAATGAGCGTCTGCATAAATCGAAAAGTACAACAAGTACAACATATTTCGCATGAGCGGTAATCTATTGTTTGAAATCTCATATCTGCGAGTGGATGCGGCTCACTGTTGCTAGACAACATTTTATTGTATACTTTAATTGCAACCACCTTCAAGTTTTGACTCTTGTAGGAATATCACAGTAAAATATTTTTGCGAGATATGAAGAAATACAATTTGGCCTTTCACCAATTTATCGTGGGCGTTCGAAGTCCAAATTGTTCTCTTTTCAATTCACACATTTTCTCTCGCCGTATCTTAAGAGCATTTTTGCCGTATGAATGACGTGGTTTGTGGTCGGGGGTGGAATTCCAACGGGTCAGTTCACATGGCTGAAGCCCTAATGAAGTGTGCGCAAATTACAGGGATGCTAGTTCTCATTCGCGTGTATTGCTATTTTCAGAGCGTGTGAAAGGGCGTCAGATAGTAAATTGTGAATTGATTTCCACACTCACCCTGTCCACTTAAATCATGTCAATTGCACTTTTTATTGCCAACTTGTCTGTTCTCTTAAGTTATTTTCGGATTGAACACTCTGTCATTATTAGTATCCAATATAACACTCTTTTCTTCATTCTCATGATTAGAACTAACAAACAAGGACCATTGAATTGGCTGTGCATTAAAGTATCTCCTTGGTGATAATTGCACAGATTTTACTGCTATAATTGTTTTCATTTTCAGGATTCACGATTGTTGCACTGAGTTACATTCCGCCAAAATACTTCAATGCACAACATCCTTTCTACTTCAGTATCATCAGCAAGCGAGAGAATAAAATCTTCTTCAGTGGACGTGTTGCCAAGGAGAAATTTCAATAAAAAAAGCCACAATTGATATCTGTCCATTGAAGACTGATTGTAATGAAACATCCGAATTGAAGATCAAATATTTGATCGAATCTTGTGAAAGGTCATCGATAAAAAATTCTCATTTCACATAAATTCACAGTTCAAACTTTATCGTTTCATTCCAACAAGTGAGAATTCTCAGTACATAAGATAATATAATTCTGTTCACCGACTGGTTGTCCGGGATACTCGCTCCTGATGAGACTGATAAGACGTCTGAAGATCCCAGGACAGAGAAGCAGGTGAAGACGAAAGGTAGGTTATGGAGTGTGATTGAGAAATTAATTAACACAAAGCCAAGAAAAACTAATTCATGAGCACTAAAATATTCAGATAAAAATGTTATGAGATTAACATTACTTAAATACTGTATAAGCAATGCTGGCGTACGATGCGGCGGCTTTAACAATCTGTTGGACAGAAAGGCGTTAGGAACATAGGATCTTTGTCAAATTCTACACTCACCTGAACAAAGGTATAAATTGAAATCACACCAAAGCCAAAGGCTTCGATTTTGACCGGTCTCTGGAACCTCATGAGCAAGAGTAGAGCATTTTTCTGATCCTTCACGTCCATTTCATACCATTTCGTCATGTAGAGAGCTTCTGAGATATCTTCAGCGCTACTCTTAAGCAATTGCCCGAAAAAGCAGATGATGAATATCTCTCCCATGACGATTACAGTGCAAAGAAGTGCAATCATAATGTTTGTGTGTGATGATTGAAAGATGAAGAACACAAAGCAAAGATACATGATGATCGTTATCAGTTTATAAAAGTAAATGTGCCAATAACTGCCCAATAAATCCTTAATGTTTTTCGAAACAATTTGATGTATTTCGTACACCATTTTGAGCACTTTTTTGTACTCCTGATCACAATCTGAGCCATCAAGCTGTCCAATTAATTCCACAATGGCCATGTTTTCACCGCGAAAGTAACAAATGGTAATCATGATAACACAATCCACTCCCATGACAATGTGCAGAATGGCAAAGTAGAAACATATTTGGTAAATGATATTGCAAGGATAGAAAAAGATGCTGCTTTGAGGGATTCCTGGGATCAGGAAGCGCATGGGTGAGGTGAAGTTCGTTTCGTACAGATCATAGCAATTTATAACACATCCACCAGCGGTGACGAAGGTCAGGAATGTTCTAAAATAAGTTTCAACTTAGAAGCAGCCAGATGTTGGATTCAATCACTCACTTCGTGTACTTCAAACCCACTTCGATATTCTCTCCAATATGCTTCTTTCTCACTTGAATCGTAGATGAATCATCAGAGTGCAGAAGATCGTCAAAGTACGTAAACATCTCGACAAATGCCTTCTTGTAGAAAATCATCATTAGAAAATACATGAACAAACATTGATATGTTCCAATGTAGAAAATCATGTTGAATGCCATAACGAGCACATCATTGAAATCTACGTAAAAGATGAGATTGTAAATCAGACAGAACTGACCAAATATGATCATCGTCGGATAACCGAGAAGTTTAAATTTGTTCAGGATATTAAACACGGGATATTCGGGCAAGAATTCAAAACGAAAAACTTTGAAGAAAGTTAAAACAATTTTCTTGAGCTGATTATGCTGATTTTCCATCATTTTGATAAGGTTATCACGAGTACTGTACACTTTGAAGCCTTTGTTTCCTTTTATAATGTAAAGTTGGCTACTGTAAGTTCATAAAATATTTCTCATTTTCGAAGAAAGTTTGTAGACAATATGGGGTTTTGTTGAGAATCCACCGAAACTTATTATTGATTGCAATATGAAGTACAGAAGACGTCCCAATCAAAGTTGTGAAGTAAATTTCATATTATTTGCCACGAAAGGGTTAGCATCAAGTTTATTGCCTTTTACTCTCCTGTATAATGCAATGTGTTCGAAGAAGTCAATTACTTTATTTCAACTTGAGCATTTCACAATAAAATTTTCATTTGGTCATACATATTTTATGAAATTGATGTTCTATCTTAACTTTCCTTTCTTACATTGATTTTATTACTTTTCACTGGGAATACACGTGGAAGATTTGTGTCGGAATTGCAAATGTTTAAATGTGTGAGTGTGGATTGAATCTATTCTATATTTAAATATCAATATTGAAAATCAATACATATTTTTAGGTAAGTGCAAAAATTTACATCTAAATTATTTGAATACTGCGTAGGCAATGCTAACGTACGATGCTGCTGCTTTTATAATCTGTAACAAAAGAATCTTTAAATATATGTATAATATTTGTGACAAAGCTTTCAATGAAGCTTACTTGAGCAAATGTGTAGATGGAAATATCTTTGAAAGCAAATGCTTCAATTCGAATCGATCTCTGGAATCTTATCAGCAAAAGCAACAGCGTTTTTCGGTTGATTGCATTCATTTCATACCACTGAGTCATATAAAGTTCTTCTGCAATGGCGTCTGAGCTGTTCTGCAAAAGTTGTCCAAAGAAGCACAAAATGAAGAGTTGGCCTGTTATAAATGTTGCTCCTATAATTGAAACAACCACTGCTTCTTCGTTGTATTGAAAGATAAAAAGCAGAAGGCCAAGACATAGAGTGATTGTACTGAGTAGATAAAAGTAGATGTGCCAGTAGGCATTAAGTAACTTTTCTACAGCGAATGCTCCATCCCGATGAATTTCATAAATGGTTCTGAGGACGTTGTGGGCATTATTTTGGGCCACGCGAATGCCATCCAACTGCTTAATTATCTCCACTATTGCAATATTATCACCGCGGAAATAGCAAATCGTTATCATAATAACACATGCGCAAGATAAGACCATTTCGAGGATAGAATAGTAAAGGATGAATTGGAAAATTATGTTTGTGGGTCTGCAGAACACACTGCTTGAAGGAATTCCTGGAATAAGAAAGAACATAGGAGCAGTGAAATTTGTTAAATGCAGCGCAAACCCATTGAAAACCAGCCCGCCGAAAGACGCGCAAGTCAAGAAGAATCTGTAAAATATGAATAACACATCATGAGTGTTTCATAAGAGTGTAAAAGGTGCCAAGAAAATACTTACTTTGTTCCTTTGATGGCCACTGAAATATTTTCTTCAATATACTTTAAACGAATTTGAGAAGTTAGGGATTGTTTTGTAGTCATTATCTTTTCGAAATAAGAAAACACATTGAGAAATGCATCTTTGTAGATGATCATCATTAGAATGTAGACCATCAAACATTGATACATAGCAATCACGAGGATTAATAGAAGAGTGAATACGAAAACGTTATTGGTGTCACTTTCGAAGATGAGATACCAAATAATGCAAAATTGACCACTTAATAGCAACAGCGGATATCCAAAGAGCTTGAGATTGTTGATCACTTGAAAAGGACATTTTGGCAAGAATTCAAAGCGCCAAATTTTAGAAAAGGTTAAAACTATAAACTTGATTTGTTCGTGATTATGCTTCAACATTTTGTTACTTTCTTGGATGATATCTTGTTTTCTACTATTACAAGAAAGTCTTTTCTTCTTTAAACAGCAATATACATTATTATTAGTTCATAATATGTCTTGTGCGAAGGTAGTTGATAGAAAATTTCCTCACCTTCATATAGAAACAAGACTAAAATATTCATTAAAGTAACAATTACTCAATTACACGATGTCATTGAATCAATAAATCAATGTAGAAAGTATATGTATAGGTAAACATTCTGAGTGATGCTAGCATATGATAGTGCTGCCTTAGTAATGTGTCATAATGTGATTCCATACAAAACAGTACTATAAATGTTAGAATCTATTATTAAAAAAATTTGTTTCATGAACGTTATAAATTATTCTAGGGATTTTTTTGAACATCAGTTTAAAGGTCTCCGAGTAAGTATAGTTTTTCTCGAGTGTCACAGAAGTATTGGGATCTGTTTGATGAAAAGCATCTAAAATTTGAAGGACATCAGAGATTGAGCATGAAAAAAGAATGATCAGAATAATGCAGTGAGCGCCGAAGTGCGGCTCTGAGCTGCGTTTCATTTATATCCTTTCCCATATCGAATGCAACTTCTGCTAATTAGGGCCATCATTGTAATGCGACACATTTTCCTACCTACTCTTATGTAGGTCATTTCCTCAGGCGAAGATGCAATTTTTTATCGTTTGTTCAGTTGTGAAATGACCGCGTTGGAATAAAGACCTCATCTCAAAACAGCTTTATCCTTACTCTTGTACCTCTCCATTTAGTAGACATATATGTATATATTTATTTATCCAATAATAAATAACGTGTAACAATAATAGAAAAGAATACTCAGTGAATTACTGTATACGCAATGCTAGCATATGAGACGGCAGCTTTTGTAATCTGTTGGGTTGAAAATAAGATAGAAAGCATTAGTTGTGATTTTGAGAATTCTCACCAGAAAACCTACCTGAACAAATGTGTAAATTGTGATTTTACCAAAACCAAATGCATCAATTGTGATCGGTTTCTGGAACATCATGAGCAAGAAAAGGACAGTTTTCTGATCCTTGACGCTCATTTCATACCACGTCGTCTTCCAAAGTGCTTCTGTGATGGTTTCTGAGCTGTTCTGGAGAAGTTGTCCGAAGAAGCAGAGCATGAAAGTTTGCGTGAGCATCAATAAAAGACATACAATAGAGATGAATTTTCCACCATCGTGATATTGTAAAACAAGCAGCACCAATCCAAGATATAAGGTAATGGTGAAGAGTTTTTGGAAATATATGTGCCAATATCCATTAAGTATGTCCCTAAAAGTAAGAATATTTGATCGCTGTCCCTCACAAATGATTTTAAGAATGCTGGCTGAGCTTTTTTGCACTGTTTGAGAGTCTTCAAGTTGGGAAACCAATTCCGCAATTGCTTGATTTTCACTGCGAATGCAGAAAACTGAAATCATGATCATGCAATCCATGCCAAATGACATTCCAACTATTGAAAAGTAGAGAATGATTTGGAAAGCAATGTTGATTAGATTGAGAAAAGTGTTGTTTGAGGATATTCCGGGAATGTAAAAGAACATTACAGAAGTGAAATCCGTCCGATATAACACATATCCCACGAAGAGTATTGCACCAATTGCTGCTGAAGTTAAACATATTCTGAAGAGGAAATTATTGTGATATAATCACATAAAGTGGACAGATTTATTTAAAACTTACATGGTGGCTCTGAAAGCCATTGGGAGATTTTCTTTCAGATGTTTCATTCTCACTTGATTCACAAGTGTCTCTTGCAGTTTCATCACACGATCAACATGAGAAAATATCTTGAGGAATGCTTTCTTGTAAAGGATCATTATTAAAATGTAAGTGATTAAGCTTTGGTAGAATCCAACGATGTAAACCATTAATATAGACAACACGAAAATGTCATCGATTTCTTTGAAATTGAGATGCCAAATTATACAAAACTGGCCAAATAATAAAATCAGCGGAAATAAAAGAAGCTTCAATCGATGTATAAGAACACTAGAACAATCAGAGATAAACTCAAAACGCCAGATTTTGTAGAAGATCAGCACAATTTGCTTGAGTTGATTATGCTGTTGTTGCAACATTTTGAGGAGTATCACGAACGAAGTCTAGAATTATACTGTGCATAGAATTTCATATTCTTTGGATAATATCAACATTTATTAATTTCTCACGACACTGAGATATTATGGAAAAGTACCATAACTGTTCATTACAAATTCATTAGTTAGTGCTTCTAAAGTTAGGAAAGTGAACCTATACATAATTAACCATAATTAGAAAGTACAAATTTTTAATCCACAAGTTTTTAAATAGGAAAATTGTGATTGCAACTCTCTTGTACATCACAATTTAAACATTTACTGTAATACTGTGTAAGCGATGCTAGCGTACGACACAGCCGCTTTTGTAATCTGCTCATATCAAGGGAAGACAGTAAGAATAAATGAAAAAAACATGTAATAGTTAAAACAAACTTATAGTAAGAGATTTACATTTACCTGAACAAATGTGTAAATTGTGATTTCACCAAAACCAAATGCATCAATTGTGATCGGTTTCTGGAACATCATGAGCAAGAAAAGGACAGTTTTCTGATCCTTGACGCTCATTTCATACCACGTCGTCTTCCAAAGTGCTTCTGTGATGGTTTCTGAGCTGTTCTGGAGAAGTTGTCCGAAGAAGCAGAGGATGAAGATTTGGGAAAATATTACCAATCCATTAGAAACAGCGATTAATTGTGCATCGTTGTGAAATTGAAAGATAAAGAGCATCAAACATAGATACACTGTAATTGTCAAGAGTTTTTGGAAATATATATGCCAATAGCCCTTAATTATATCTTGAAGGATGATTGCTCCTGTTCGGTGAGCATCGTAAACTATTCTAAGGATTCTGCTTGAATTACCCGAACTCCCTTGAATAGTTTGTGAGTCTTCGAGCTGAGAAATGAATTCCGCAATTGCTCGATTTTCACCTCGAAAGTAGCAAACTGTGATTAAAATTATGCAATCCACTCCAAAAGACATTCCCAGAATTGATATGTAAAGAACAATCTGATAAAGGACGTTAATTGGACGATAGCAAAGGTTGTTTGCGGATATTCCGGCAATGTGGAACATCATTGGAGAATTAAAATCTGTTCGATACAAAGCAAATCCAATAAAGAATAATCCACAAATTGCCGAAGAAGACAAAAAGACTCTGCAATATCAAAAAATGCATAAGTACGACTTTGATAAGGTAAATTCTAGCAAGATGATACTTACTTTATCGCTTTCAATGCAATTCTGGTGTTCTCTTTGAGATGCTTTTTTCGCAAATGATTCACAAATGTGCCTTCCGATTGTACCACATTATCAAAGAAGTAAAACATGTTGAAAAAGGCTTCTTTATACACTATCATCATGAGACAGTAAATCACAAAACACTGATATATTCCAACGACAAAAATCACCAACATGGAGAACTGAAACATATCAGCGACTTCTTGGAATTCGAGATGCCAAATTATGCAGAATTCAGTGAATATCAACAGCAACGGATACAGTAAAAGTTGTAATTGCTTCACAAAAACACTTGAATTCCCTGGTAAAATCTCACATCGCCAGACCCTGAAGAAAATCACCACGATTTGCTTGAGTTGATTATGTTGTTGCTGCAACATTTTGACGATTAGTAAACTGGTCAATTGAGTAGATAAGGTTTCTCTGCGATATGAATTATCGCTGTTTTACTAAATGTTTACTCTTAAGTACTCTCTTACTGAGACTAATAATGGCTTCTCAGTCTATTCTCGTCTTCCTCTACCATAAAATAAAATATTTAATTCTGAATTTATACTTTATAACCTATCAGAGAAGTGACTATAAATGCTTAAAGAGTATTTCAATAAATAATGTCAAATTTAGAGAATGGAAACTCACTTGGTCAGCTGACGATTTCTTGACGTGTATTATGTTCGTAAACGGTCCAAGACACTAATCTTCACAATAAGAAAGCTCCTTTGTTCATTTTATATTTAATTTTCATTTATACTTATGAATTCAAAATTTGTCTCTCCTAATCTATATGTTTCATATGCATTCTAAAGGCTTCTAATATTTTAATGAATTAAATTTGTGGAATGTTTCACTTATCTGATGTCGATTTCTTGGTCTTCTTAACATTCCTGTGAACAGCTCTCTTCATGATGAGGCCCTGATCTCGAAATTTAGTGCGGACGTAGTGATAAGCGTGATACAATTTACCCTTGCTAAGAGCACCATTGAATCCTGGGCAGTAGTACACGAGAGGATCCTCGTCGGGAAAGACTTCTGTTATAATTTCGGAAATGTAGATGAACGCTCCTCTGTCAAGTCTATGAGGAAACATGGAAAATTATGTCTGACTCCACATTTACGAGCTATTCGCCCTTACTCGAGCGCAGGATTCCTGTTCATAATGGCTCCGATCACCATGTTGACCAGCATTTTGCGGTCCATGTTGACCAAAGGCGTTTTATTCTCCACCTTATTCACCAACGTCACAGCTTGCTCCTTCATCATATCTAGGAGGTCCTGTTTAGTGAGGAGCCAGTCATACTTGCCAAAGTGGGCTTGGTAGTAAGGCATTTGCAGTCTGGTTGGAATATTTGGCATCGCTTGAACTGACCTTTGATTGTCCAAGTCCGATTCCAAAAATAGTGGATCATCGTCAGATAAAAGTTCGCTCTCTTCTATCTTAATCTCATCTGAAAAGCAAAGAACAGGAATAAGGAATTCTGTGTAATACAGAAGAAAGAGTCAATTTTTGAAAGAATAATGATTTATACTTGTTTTCATAAGTGTTATTCACATACGGAAAAAAACTAGAATTTTTGCTGTAATTTTATTTCAAAATCGATTTAACATATGTAATAAAACTTGTCGTGTTACAGTTATTTACTATAATACATATTTCATTTTATGTATGTAAATTTAAGCAATTTACTCAAATGTCATGAAAAAAATTCTCTCTAAGCCTAAAAGTATAAATTTCAAAAAATAGAAGTCTGGAAACGAAGTTTTTTTATGTAGGTAAATCTTTGTGAGTTCTTCAATTTCGTATTTCGCTGTGAATCAACATACACATATGTATAACAACAGAAATTTAGTCTTAAAGGCGTCTGCGTCTCTTCCTTCGCGGAACATTGGACTTCTCGAGGTATCCGTGCTCCCTCAGCTTCGATCGATAGAGATGATAAGCGTGGTAGAGCTTTCCCTTGGAGTGAGGAACAATGGAACCGCACTGAGGCGTGAAGTAAACGGAAGGATCTTCCTTTGGGAAAACCTCTGTTATCACCTTGCAAAGGTAGAACATTGCATTTCTCGGCAATCTGTAATGTTAGGCAATTAAGACAAGGTGTCAAGAGTAGGAGAGAAGTGAATAATTACTCTAAGCGATAGTTTTCTGCTAGCACCGCGCTTATGATCAGTCTGGCCAGGTTGTTCTTGTCGGTGTTTGTGAGTTGAGCTTTCATCTGATACTTTTCATACAAATTCATATCATTTTTCATGAGGATCTGCACAAGATACTGCAATATATATTTATTTTAGGAAGGTACAAATATTATTGTGCAAACACGAAAACTTACTTCTGCAGTAAGCAACCAAGTGTAGTCTTCTTCTGCCTTGTACGACATGTAAACGACATCCAACGGCTCCAGAAGTTGATCTGAAATAGAAGTAATTTTTTACTGCAGAGATGGAAGTCATTGTCAAGCAATATTTGTTAAATTTAAAGCGTAAAAAGGATTAAAAGCGACTTTTAAGCTAATATGAGGTGTTAATATAATCCCAAGGTTTGTTTAAATCTAACTACATTGATAAAATCATTTTTACAAATTCTTGGACAATTAAAAATACACTGAAATACTCGTTTAATGGTGGAAATGCAGTATTTTTATCAGCTTTTAATGCTTCCTCATAGAAATTTCTGCAATACATTTGCCAGTGATTTGTGGCAGCGATAAAACAGAATTTCTTCTCTCTCAGTCGCGTTTACAGAAACATTTACAGGTGCCTGAAAACAAATTTCCAGTGATTAGCTGGATTGTAATTACAAGAATATAAATAAAAAACTCACATTTGAGCAATTTTCTTGTGTCACCTTGTATATTTGGTGTCTGAAGTAGAAAATAAGTCACAGGTTAAAGAAGGACACAATAGGAATTATGTTTTAATTAGTATGAATGCTGTTTGCAGTTCAAAAGATTCGTGGTCTGTCTAAAATGTGTAATTTTTTTTTATTATTTCATATCTCTCCATGATAATGCTGATGAAGTAATTTCACTCAGAAGAGTCAGATGTTGAAGAACAATAAATCATAATATATATGTGATGTAATTAATCAAACTAAAAGTCCTATTAGGAAAACAAATTTCCCATCTAGTAGCAAATATAAGACATCATCTTATATGCTCTAATAAGTCATAATTCTACTAAATAGTTGCTTCTTTGATTAATCTTCTTAGTGTGTGTGTATCTGCAGTCAAGCTCTCAGTAATCATAGTCCCTCCTCTTGATAAGGCCGTGCTTCTTCAGTTCGAGTCGGCGATTTTGGAAACGTTTGTACAACTTTCCACTGGCAGGCTTCTTCTTTGACGATGGCATATAATAAGTCTCCATCTTTTCGTTCGGGAAAATGTGCTTTATCAGTGTGAATAAGTACATTATCGACTTCTTTCCCAGTCTGCAAAGTATAGAGACAAAATCGTATTTAATTTACAGTTCTGTTGAATTTTTACACACATTTTCATACTCAATTTCGACATCTTTGTCCAGAAGATGCTCAATCACGAGCCTAACGAGGAGATTCTGGTCAGGAACATCAAGATTTATCCTCAGTCGCGCCTTTTCGTACAATGTTGCTCCTTTGCGTCGCAGCAACGCCACAAGTTCCTGCAATTTGTGACGAAGATCATTAGATTGTGCAACAATTTCTTCCAAAAATCTCACCTTCAGTGTCAGCAGTTGATCGAAAGGTCCTGCAAAGTCATAGCGAATTTTAAATGGGAGCGGTTGTGAATATCTCATCTGATGGCTGAACACCGACATTCGCTGATAGATGTTGTGTGAATCGCTGGAGTCCGAATCAATTAGGAGTGGATCTTAAAGAAAAGTAGAAGTAATCAAATTAGCTTAATAAGAACAGAAAATATCCATTTTTCGTTATGTTAGTTGATAAAATAATACAAAATCTATGCATCAGGCACAACTAAGACGGCATTTGGCTATGAAACATCTATTTTTATACGTTCTAAGTACATATTAAAAGAATTCTCAGCGGCGAAAAACTGTCGGCTTAACAATTCCCTCCTTTATTAACTTTGCTCGTCGACTGCGATACACGTTGAACAGCCTTCCTTTGCTGTGTTGGTTGTTCTGGGCGGGAATGAAGTACGTCGTTTCACGTTCATTCGGAAAGAGTTCCTTGATAACGTAGCACAACTGGAAAAAGGCAGTCTTTCCGAGTCTACAAAGAGCATTACAGTTCAGTTAAAGATTCCCTTTGGGCTGAAAGAAAAATCATCTCTCACTGGATTTGGGAGTTCTTCTCAATGAGATGCTCAATTATAAGTTTAGCCAGAGTGCCGCCGTCGCGCTTTGTTAAATCTTTCTTCTTCTTTGCCTTCCGATACAATGAGATGTCCCTTTTCTTCAGCAAATTCCAGAGATCCTGCGAAAATAAGAACACACATTAGATGAGGTTTCTTGAAGAGAATTTGCATTTCTCACTTTTGCTTTGAACAACCACTCAAGATTTCCTTTATATTTGAAATGTACTTGCGAACTGTTACCAATGTAACGAATGTCATTGGTCTTTAACTCTTCATCATCTGAGCTATCAGGGGATAACGATTCAGGAGATTCGCATTTCACTTTTCCGTCATTTTTGATAATGGCTAAAGGATCTAAAACAAAAAAAATAAAAAAAACATGATATTTTAGAGAATGCAAGAAAATTACTGATATAAACATCACTGATGGAATTAGTTCGAGGAATTCTAACTAGCACAGAGACACAAATGATGTGAAAATAGCCTTTATTTTCGCTAAATCTTTGATTCTGCATTAATGGCATTTTCCGCATATTGATGATGATTAAATGATAGTTTGCAAATATTTCTACAGTCCACTGTTTACTACTGTAATCTTATTCTCTAATGCGTTCTTTTACAAATAATTCATATGGCTTATGTGACACTTCTATTTGTGCTACACTTGGATCTAAAATCTACGACATGACACAGGTATGTTATGTTGATGCCTCTGCCAAGACAATCTAATAATGAGGGCGTTTCTTCGGCGTGTCCAGCAAGCCACTTTTGCTAGCTGTGTAGCGATAATGCTGATAAGAGTTGTACAACTTTCCGCGACACATTTTCCCATCTCCTGATGGTGTGTAGTAAGTCTCTGGATTCTCATACGGAAAGATGTCCATGATGACATTGCAGAGGTGAATCATCGCATCTCTGCCCAATCTATGAAATATAAATTTAATTAGAACATCGGATTATGGTGAAATCATCTCAATCTCACTTGAGCTTGCAATTTGACGAGAGTACCGATGATATGACAGTCCTGGACAATTTACTCTGATCGCAGTTTGTTAGTGGCTCACGGTTTTTCGCCTTCTGGTAGAGAACCATTGCATTTTTCCGGAGTAAATCCAGCACATCCTACCAAAAGATCAATAGAAATGATTTTTAGAGCGCGATCAGAGTTGATATCGAGTCGGAATTATGGATGAAAGATAGAGATTCACCTCGGATGTGAGTAGCCAGTCGCAGGACAACTTCAGCTTGCACAGTCTCTCCATGTAGAGTCTCCTGGAGCTGTCACGGAAATATCTGAATTCTCTCAACAACTCAGAATCTGAAAAGAATCTCACAATTAGTACACATGCCACGAGAGCCTACCACATTACTCTAACGGACAGGACAATCTACTGAAAAAACAAAAGAAAAATTTTTAAGAAAAAAGAGATTAAAAGGAAAATAAAGGAGTTATCCAACACAGATTAGAAGGGTTAGTTGTAAATTGATTTTGCTGATCTAGATTTCACATTTATTAAGCTTTATTACGTAAGATCATAGATCGTGATTAAGTACACACAAATGTTAGTTTAGAATTCCAAAGTACAGCATTAGTAGTGGATAAATAGAGAGATTAAGTGGGGTGTGATTAATAAGTTAGTGATGGCTTTGCTCAAGTGCAGAAGCTTTCTTGTGCTCCTTCTGTGCCGGGCTGCAGAACTGGGCGTTCACGTGGCGGCGCAAGTTACTGAGAATGTTGGTCTTGTAGCCGCACATGTAGCTGCAGTAGTACTTTGGCGGCACGCCACACTCATTCTTGAGATGGCACACGAGACTGTTGCGCCACTTGTAATTGCGATTGCAGTTGAGACAGATCCACGGCTTATCCTGGCCGGACACGAAGCGAATGGCTTCGTTGAATTGAGTCTCTTGCTTAATTATGCGCTTCTCCTGTTTCACAACGACACGCTTCGTTTTCTCCACCTTCACCTGGGACGTGCCCTTGACGGGGAGAAAGGACGACGCACGCCACATGAGACGCGATGAGACATTCTTCGCCTGAACAGAAGTGTTAGTTTTGCCCATGGAGCCCTTGCGCATTCGCGCAGCTTTAAAAGTGTTAGTCATACGAGGCTCTATTTTCAATTTTACCATGCGACCACCACCTAGACTCGGCGAGAGATGGGAAGAGAAGAGAGAGAAAGAGTGTTAGTAAGGTGTGTTAGTAGATTAAAAATGTGTGTTAGAAACTAGAGAACATTCACTCAAAGAAACACAAAATGTTTAAAACAAATAATAAAACAGAACACAAAACATGAGGTCTGAAAATAAAAAGAAAACAAAAAAAATTAGTAATTGATCATGGTTTTACACAGATTTTCATCCATTGAGAGGTACAAATTTTTATTAGATTTTCTTTGTCACTATGTTCCACATGGCATATTTTTGGCAAATTCATATCATATCCCTGAAAGAGGTCTCATCTTTAAGATAGATCCTACCTTAAATACTATAGCAATAATATAATCTCGTATATATTTCAGGAATCTTTACATGGAGACATTGTCATGGACAAAAATAGCTGACATCTCTGTACATTTTCTCTGACTAGATCTCAAATGGCATTTTCTTTTCACTCTCTTAGGAAATTAGCTCTGAGTTTGGTGTCCTGTAGTGGAAGATGGTCATAAGACGGCGTAATTGCTAGAGATAGTACTTGATACAGACACCCGATTCCAAGTGTCTTTTCAGATGTGTGCTCTGCGAAAATGCCTTGCCACACATCATGCAGCGGAACTTCTTCTGCCCGCCACACTCGTATCTGCAAGAATATTTCACGATTAGTTGAGCAACGCTAACTTTTCATGGGGTGTTTCTCATTAAACTCTCGGGCACACTCAGCGATTTCACTGACTTGGGCTCACCTAATATGTCGCTGAAGGGAACTGGGTTCTTTGTAATTCTTGCCACAATTTTGCCTTGGGCACTCATATCGACCATTAGCGTTAATTAACTTGGATAAGTCGGAAAACTTGAGATTATACCACATGTCCCAAATGTCTCGTTGACTAACACAATTCTCACCATCTGAAAGGATTCAAGAGAAGATTGGTTAGTGAAATGCAAAGAAATCTTTCTAACTACGTTTGATGCTAGAATGTAGTTTTTTTTTCTTTTAGAAAATTATATCAAATAAGTGCTCAGTTAGTAAATTGTGACGTAATAGTTGTTTCTTTATTTCTATTTACACAAAATTCAACTAATCTCTCTACTCTTTAGTATTCTATATAGGAGTTTTTTTGTTATTGATCTGAAGACATTAATCGTCAAACTTGAATTTTGCATCTTTGTCGTTGGGATCCACACACGGGACAGACAGACTCTGGAAAGATAAGACAGAGACAACAGAAAGAGTGTTAGAATAATGAAAGACAAACGTGGTAAAATCAATTGTCTCACCTCATTTTGAGGGAAAGAGAAAACCAAAAAGGAAATCGGGAGGAAAGGTTTTAAGTTGCTCGTTTCGTCAATGGTTTTCACGTTCTATCGTGGTATTTTCTTCGGCGACGCTGCGGTCTCATGTGTGTCCTGATGTGATCCTTCATCGTATCGGACCTGCGATTGACGTAGGGACAGAAGGGACAGCCGAGCTTTTCTCGAGATGAAGCCGTGTATACACACTCGCAGCGCTGATGGCGACTCAGGCTTGTCTTGAATTTGTAAGATTTTTGGCAGAATTCACATCGATGCCTCTGTCCGTCCGGCATCACTTGCGGTACATTTCGTGAATTATACTTGTAGTCACCGTAGTACTCCTCATAGTAGTAATCTGCAAAGACATGAGAGTTGCAAGAGAGAAAAAGAGAGGCGTTACTCATATGATGTGATAAAGTACTGATCAGAAGCGCTGTTAGTGGTTAAGAAAAGCATAGTTCTTTGGTTTCATTTCTCTTTTCTACTCCAAAAAAGACATCTTTACGATTATTATTAACTTCTCATTTCTTTAAATACATGGCCATATAATGAAGAAAATCCCTGATGCCTAATGTTAAGTGACTATATGATAGTGAATCTCTACAGTGGCATTGATAGAGGCTCTCTAGATTATTTGCTGTTTCATGATTTCTTTGTGAAAGGTCGTTATATGACGATGCATGTTGAAGAATTTCGTGGTTTTGTACGTGCATCCAATGAATGGGCACGAGTGCAAGTTTTTCGCCGGCTGCTCGCGGCACTCGCGACTCTTGTGGAGGAGGAGAGTACTCAGGCTCTGGCAGGCTTTGAAGCAGCTCTGACAGTACCAAATGCCATCGATTGCCTTCTCTTCATCATCCTCGTCTGGTGACCAACTGTTGTCTGGAAGACAGAAATTGAGAAAGGCAGTTAATACGAATTAAAGTACATGTGAATTCTCCTACTGAGAAATCTACCTATGATTGACTAATTAAATAAATTTGCATCTCATTTTCAGTGGTATTCTTATTATTCTCTGTATTTTTGTACATTCCGCTAAATATTTCATCCCAAAACGACAGTAGAAATTCACTTTTTACAACATATATCAATATAATCGTCGTGATAAAAAGACTAAGATTCGTTAGTTGAATAACAAATAGTATATCAAACCGAGTGTATATTTTCACATGGGTTTTCTCGAGAGCCTCCCAGAGCCAAAACTCACAGCGAACCCTTAAACATTGATGAAACCTACAAGACAGAGAGATACAGAGAGTGAGTATTAGTATTTAAAGAAAAATCACCTTGTCAGAAATGTTAGAAGTAAGGTCGCATTCACCTGAACTGCAAGAGAGCCGATGCTAAGCACTTCCCTCGAACTTTGCACCGCTGTCTCTGTGCTCATAGTGCGTTCTCAAGTGAACAGTGAGTTTGTCCCTGCGCCGATTGGAGTAACTGCAGAAAGGACAGTAGAGCATTTCGGCGAACCTTGTCATGGGGCAATCGTACTTTTGGTGCCTCCTCAGACTTGAGTTCACCATGTATGTCTTGCCGCAATAGTCACAGCGGAAGGGCAGATCTAAGGATGAGAAGAGAAGATCAGTTAGTGGTGGATTAAACACTTAAGATCACATGATCGCGCACTTTCTGTTAGTACCAGCTTTAACACCTGAAAGGAGACTCAATAAGAAACATTGTTAGTAGAAGTGTTATTGCAGAGTGCATGGTTAACTTATCCCACCTGTAATCTACAGAGCGTGTATTAGACAAAAAACTGCAAGATCTTCTTTACACTTTACTTTACAATATACAGCAATTTATTCACTGAGTGATTTCATTTTTGGAATAATTTATTACAGATGATTTTCCCACGCGATCCCCAGAGGATCACTCAATTTTCACGGGCTTGGCGTGTGTTGTGTAGTGCCTCTTGAGGTGGTATTTCCTCTTGAAGTACTTCTGGCACTGATCGCACTGGTATTTGCGCTCTGATCCACAATCCAGGCGCACATGGCGACTCATTGTGGCGTAGGTGTTGTAAGCTCGGCCACATCCGTTGGAGCATGCAAAGAAGCCTGGCATCCAGTACACGTCACTCGATGAATCTGCATCAGAAAGACACCAAAACACCCCTCATTAGTACATGCGATCGTATTCTTTACGTGTGATCGCGCGGTCTTAAGCTGAGAGAAAAACAAATTGTCAGATTTTATGAACAAAAAATTTTGAAAATAAAGTACAAAAAACAGTAATCAACATTGAATGACAACATGCAGGCAAAATTAATGGTATTTGAGTACAAAATAGTGACTGTTTTACATTTTATTCCTTATTTTACATTCAGTATATATATATCGCAAGTATTACATAATAATCTCTCTGTAAATGACTTTTGATTGATTTTCACCGTTGTTTCGTATCAAGAATGTTTTTGGGCTTCAGTGTGACACTTTGCAATGCAGTAATTGAATATTTTTCCCCAAATCGCTGGAGGTAATTTCATGTGTTTCTTCTTCTTTTTTTTACTTCTAAATGATAAAAAGTAATAGGAACTAAATATGTGATCAGTGTTTGTCGATTTAGAAAAATAAATTCTTCACCACTTTGCAAAGTATTTGTGATCTATCTTGTTTATCTTTCAATAAAACTCTATTCCATCAAGGAAGGATGCAGTGCGTGATCGCGATCACGACTGCTGTTAGCACTGTGAGAAAAAATGTCTTATAAAACTACACCACGAGGTATATAATATCTAATGGTAAAAATAGTTAAATATCGCGAACAAACCACAAAGTATACAAAATATCAGTTATGTTAAACAATCTTTGGATATCGCACTGATCTCTAGGACATTTTGCTGGGATGGAGTCGCTTCATGTGTTGCTTGAGGTTCCACTTTCTGCGGAATCGTCTCAGGCAGATGCTGCAGAAGATCTTCTTCTCAACGCCACACTCGTGATTCATGTGACGCACCATGATGCTGCGCGTCGAGTAACTCCGGCCACACTTTCGACACGTGTAGTTGTCTCCGGATCGACTCTCTGTCTTCCTCGGCTCTCTCAGGGAACTGTCAGCGAACTGGGAGATGTAGTAGTAATCACCCCAGTAATCTGAAAGACAAACAGGACGACAAGTGAGAATGATTGCGAGTTTCTGCGCACAGATCGACTATGTGAAAGAAAAAAAAATACTCATCTCACAAAATGCTCTCCCTAAGCACACACACAAGAGGCCAAAAGTAACACAAAAGCATTGGCAAATCATAAGGTAAAAAACTGAACGTGATCGAAAGGAAATCATTTACGAGAAGAAGCTAATTTATCTCTCTTAAATTCTCCATATACATCAACTATTCAGGATTGGATGATTGATATGAAAAATTCTGTCAAAATCACAATTTCAGTTTAGCAAAAGGGGGAGGATTTTTCGTAATTCGGTTCGTCCACAATGGCCGATTGGAGATAGTGATCTAGAAGACCGTCTTTAGCGTGTCTCTCCATGTGTTTGGCCAAATTACGCTTCTGTGTCACGATTTTGGGACAAAGTGGACACTGAGCACCCTTTCCGCACTCCTTCCGGTGAGCTGCAAGAGAAGAAAAGTTGATTAGTCATCAATTAAGGAGCCTTGGAAGTAGGGAAAATACCTTTCAGTGCGCTGACTTTCTTATACTTGACGCCACACTGAGGACAAACATATCTGGGAAGACCGTCATCCATGTAAATGACAAGAGGCTCAGTCCCCATCAGGAAATCTACAAGAAATTTCATCATTTCCCATTAGAATCAGAGATCTTCTCTCAGTATGCTCACAAATGAGACAGAGATTCGTCAAAGAAATGATTTTGAAACTGAAAAAATTTACAGAACTTAAAAGCCAAAAAGAAACAATTTTGATACGAACCTCCACCAATATAAATTGCTCTTATTCTCACACAATACTCCATATTTATATTCCATTGTTTTATTATCGTATCTCTGCCTAATTCTAACTGTGAAAAACTACCAGGAATTCTTCTTCGTTCTCTTCGCATGGCACGAGCCAAGAAATGTACACAATCACAACAAATCAAAGGATAGTAGTCGTACTCAGCACTGATGAGTGCGACTAATGAATCTGCTTGTACGCCTCCATGGGTGAGAGCTTGTGGACGTGCTGCAGATGTCTGATGACTATGAAGCCATAGGTGAACTTCTTATAGCAAATCGGGCACGGATAGCGCCTCTTCGTGGTGCACTCATTGCGAATGTGGCGAATGAGAGAGTACTTCACTTGATACCTGGAAGGATGAACACATAATTAGTGAGATAAGAGACGCCTGAGCCCGTCTCTTTACCTCCTTCGGCAGTTCGCGTTGGGGCAAATGTAGTATCCGTCCGATTTTACGAGTTCTGGCGGGAGCTTTTTGCGGTGGCTCCTTGACGGGTATCTGGCGTGTCCGGAGGAATCTGCGAAGAGAGACGAGACAAGTGTATTAGTAAGAATGCCTGAGACTAGATTACAGCTAGCGAATGATAAGACAATGACACCATAAGCTAAGTTGTTACAGGAAGTACAGTTGCTAAGAAGTGAAATAATTCCTCTGATTTCGTTTCCATTTATTCAAAGATTTCCTCTTTTTAATAGTTATTTTTAGTGATATATTGGTAATTCATATCAAAAAAATACCCTCCAACTTTAGAACTCCTCAAATTCTCAACATTTTACAATCGCTTTGCCAGTTAATAGAATTCAAAGGATAAATTACAACAAATATTTTGCCTTTTTCGCATAAATTCAACTGCTTATAAGTGTGACAAAAAAAATTATAGTTTTATACAGCTATAGAATATTGGTGTTGTGGTGTATTAACAAAACAAAAAAATGTTATCTAAATAATTATTTGGTTAACTGATGATTTTCTATTGTTACTTTGACCCAAAACCCCGTTTTATTGTTAAAACATATTTCATTTTCACGATATTTCCTCTCTTTATACGCTTCCATCTCATCTTCCTCTCAATTTCTCTTCTTTAAAATATATTCTTTCGTAGTATTTTTTTTTACAATGTGTGTTTGTGTGTGTTTTGTGTATAATTTACCATCCTTTTATCAGTATGTCAGTTATTTCGCGTTCTTTCCTATCATTTTGTTTTATTTTCTCAATAAAGAATTGAAGATAATTGCCCCGCAATTATCTTTGCTGGTTAATTGCAATCTGTTCTGCTTCTAATTAATCTTTAACAAATAAAAATCTTCACTGTTTCATCTATGACTGGGTGCAGCAGTGGCACAGAAAGATCCACTGCTGCGATGGTTGTTAGAAAAAAGAGATATGATTTCAAAACAATATTATACACTCTTCTCGAGGGGGTGGAAAATATGGTGTAAAAATCTGTTTTGCACAATTTGCATGTTGTTTTTCACTTTTCTCTTTTCTTTTCTCAACTAGAAACAAAAAAATTAAAGAAAATATTATTTGTTAATTACAATCACAAATAATCACATCAATATTTCCGTTCACAGCTCCATGGTTATATTTTCACTTTTTTCTTCATCTTCTAATTCAATGATGCTCTTTTCTATTTCTTCTTCGCCCTTCTTCGTCTGCCATTTCTTCTTTTTCTTCATTAAATATTGTTTATGTAAATTTAATTTGATGTATATATAGAATATAATTAAAAATATATATTTAATATATAAATCGATTATGTAAATATGTTCATATTGTTAATATATGTTATTTACAATTCTCTTCCAGATTTCCTTTACTTCATTATACAATTTAAATTACTTTGTTTTGCTTCACTTCTTCCTCTATTCTTTCGAAATATCAATTTTATCTTTTCCTATTCTCTCGCCAATTTTTTCACATCTTCTTTTTTATTCACCTTCTTATCAAGAGATCAACGTGATAATTATTGCAAAAATTATAGAATTCAGTTGGAAAAAATTCAATTTTCATGATCAACAAAAAAAAAACATTTCTCAATGTGTTAACAGAAATTCATCTTTCCCTATTCACTAGAGGAAATATTATTAATTATTATTATTAAAAATATGGTAATAAAAATATATCGACTAAAATTAATCACGACTATGTTGCTTGGCGTTCTTCGCCCAAAACTTTCTTCCTCTTCAACAAAATATTTCAATATATGTGTTTATATACTTCAATCTTTCAATGCTCCTCTGCCAACTAGTAAAATTATCTTCTTCACACCACCATCTTGCAAAAAGACCCACTAAACTGACTATACTTTGATATCACATTCCAATTTAAAACCAATTTCTCAATTATTTCTCGCATGTGGCGTGGCGATCGCCGGCCGCCGATCGCCGCGCATCAACTGGGGGAGTAAATGGAGCTGGATTGAGTGCGGCGAGGACGCGATCATCATCGATTCTGGTGAGTGCGCATGTGGAGGACGAGGTTGTGCTTGTGCTTCGACTTCTTGTGGCACACCGGGCACTCGAACTTGGGCTCCACGCCGCACTCGAAGCGAATGTGGCGGTTGAGGCTGTGCGGCCGCGCGTAGGAGTTGCCGCAGCGGTTGCACGTGTAGGCGCCACACGGCGTGGTGGGGTTGGCTCCCATCAGCCGCACGCCGCGCAGGGCGGACAGGGATGGCGTGAGCGGCTGCGGCGGCGGCTCGTGCACGCTGGCGGCCGGCGGTGGGCCCATGGCGAACGGCTGGGGTGCCGCCGGTTGGGCGGCCGTCAGCTCTCGGAGGCACGTGGCTGGCGTGAGCAGGCGCAGATCGCACGGCTGGTCGTCCTCGGTCTGCGACACGGGGCTCACCTTGGCGGGGTAGCCTGTAGGGGAAAACTACAAGAGTTAGTGACACCCTGCTGAGATCAGCTCTCCTCACAGTGACAGTGGTTAGGACATGGACTCAGCTGAGGTGGCGATCGCGAGGATCATCAGCACAGCGACAAACACACACACAACTTAGTGGGTAAAAATCATTAGCCTGGCCGCTGTAATCGTGATAATTTTGCCGGTGCCGCGAAGCCAATTGTCCTGAGGATGCTCAGAATGTACAATTTTGATTACAGCTCAATCTCTTCGCCCCACTTCTTGCATACAATTATAGTATTATCAAAATGAATTAATGAAGAGTCGTGTTAGGAGGATAAATTGCAAAAGATCACCCAACCAACACCATAATTGAATGTATATATCTTGGATAAATGCATAGCCTAGTATCATTATTGTCATAAATCTCAATGATATCGTATGGTGGTTAAGTAAATTTAAAATCTTATTTAACTTTACAATATATTTTCATTAAAGCAGTGATCTCTGGTTGATCTTGTACAGTAAACAAATACAATCGCTAAATAGATCGCTGGGCGCAATCAAGAGGGAACTTAAAAGGGACACACGCACTCCATAGCTTTTCGTCCAATAACTGATCGTCTCTCTTTCTCCCTAAAACTACCTCCCCATCTTAACTATCGATCTTCTATATCCATCGCCGAGGAGTTACCTAAAAAGAGAGAAAAGACATGTTAGTAGGAAAAACTTAAAAGCACTCCTATGAACTCATCTGTGTGATCGCTGATCGCTGACTTTTTTTTCCCACCTTCTTCTCTCGCGCAATTTATTTCATATTAATAAATCCTTTATTCACTTCAAATTACATTCACTCTTGTGATGATCTACATTTACTGTGGTTGTCTGGTAATCTTTGTAATATATTAGGTAATTTCATCTGAATAAATTAAGTAACGCAGAGACTAGATTCAAGCAAGATGCTCATTAGACTAGATTCTTCTTCACTTTCTCCAATTGGGATGCTAATCTCTAAACTCCTACCTTTTACACTATTATGTGTGTGTTTATTCCTTTATTTAATTCTACGAGTTAAGACCAAGTTCACAGGGTTAAATTTTTACTCTCCTTTTCTCCCCTTCATCAATTTCTTCTCAACCATGCGAATGGCATTCTATGCAATAAATACTATGATTAATATTATTTAAATATTAAATGTAATCTTATATGCACAACGAACACAAATTAGAAAAAAAACATATGTAATTCTATCCTGTGATCCCAACGGAATGATCGGTAGTCTCTTTGCCACAAAATCTACACCAACACAGCTCGCATTATCTGGAAATGTCCTCTTATCAACAAATCAGTTTATGCAAAAAGTCTCCATTCCGCTGAGATCTTGTGGTGTTAAACATTAAGTTTTGGGGTAATTGCAAGTTAGTTACAATGACACTCGATCGCTCAACTCCAAGTTAGTTGATGTCTGGCTTAATGAGATCTCTGTTCTTGCAAAATTTCGAGTTGAGATGCCTCTTGAGGTTGCTGTGAATGTTGGTCTTGTAGCCGCACATTCGATTGCAAAAGTACTTGGGCGGGAGGCCACACTCGTTCTTCAGGTGGCACTTGAGGCTGTTCTTCCACTTGTAGTTGCGATTGCAGTTGCGACAGATCCACGGCTTTTCGCCGCCAATGTAGAGAATGTCATCCTGACTGAGAAAGTGCTCCTCCTTCTTCACGCGAATTGCACTGTTATTGAAGTCTCCGGCGCTCTGGTTCGCCGCCCTGTCGCCGGAGGCGCCCAGTGTGGTTGTGGTGGAGCTGGGCTTAGCCTCTTCCGGACTGCACAGCGGCTGTCGCTTGATGATGATCGACTTGATGCCGGTCTTTGTGCCAGATCTCACATATGTGGTTCGCCACAGGGGCGGCGGCGGATTGTTTCTTGTCGTCCAGACAGACGGATTAGTAACGTTTAGATTATAGTTAAATGATGTGTAGTGAGGAGGTGTGTTAGTAGGGCTAGTGGGCTCAAGTTTTATCATAGTAAGACCACCACCACCAAGACCATTACCACCTAAATGGAGGGATAAAACAGTGGGTTAGTGATTAGATCAATTAGTGGTCTGCTCAGAGATTAATTTGCAAAAAGAAAACAACAAACTAGTGACCGAAAGATCACGCACAAAGATCATTCACACCCTCAGAAGCAGTTACTTGTAAATAGAAAGAAAAAGTAATTAAATAAAATTAAAATTGTCAGAAAAGTATAATTTGACATGATCAGAGAAATACTCAAGCGTGTCATTAGTATTTATTTCTAAATTTCTCTCCACGATCTTCTTCTCATCATTCGCCGATTTCCAATTACTCCTCTAGAAGATCAACTCTTTCAATCTGTTTTTTTTTGTGTTCAGTTCTACTCAAAACTCATGCCATCATTAATCATCCCTGAGGCGATCGTCTACCTAAAAAGAGAGGAAAAGAGACTGGTTAGTATGTTGAAAAACCCACAAATCACCGCGCGCTCTGATCTTGTGCTCACGATCGCGATCATCATTTGCCATCCATTGAGAAGCTGTAATGAACAAATTCACAATTAGGAGTAAAACAAGGTCAAAAGAAAATTTGTATAAAAGCATTGAATTTTTATTAATATTGATAATAGAACTAAAAAAAATATGTATAAATCCTAAATCTGATATTGTGGTAAGTTCTTCAGATTTTCTGAGCAGTAAACTCGTGTGATAATGTCTTTTATCATGTTTCTTTTCTTTTTCAATTGCTACATGGTATGTAAGATTCTTCTTCAATTCACAAAATCTTTCTACAATTACGGAAAAAAAATCTTTTATGTGTTTTACGACAAAGAAAAACGGGAAAATCCATTGGAATGATAAGTAAAGTATGTGATTTTATCTAATCCTCCTGATCATCATGTTCGGTCGCGTAAACAAAACTCTGCATATAAAAGTTATTTTAAAAAATAATAAAAATATTAATGAATAATATAACAATTGAGTATTCATGAGTATATAATTAATTATAGTTATGAAATGACGCATAATAGACTGTTATAGCCAACATTTACAGGGAATCTCCTTCCTTAGATTCTCAATCTGATCTTCACATGAGATCAGATCTTCGGGAAGAAATAAAGAAGTGTAATTAACTTCAAAGAGACACAAATTTCAATTTTGACCCTTCACCAGCTACAATAGGTTCTTCATTAAATTGTTACAAATGTCTTTTATAATTCTCATGTTCTTTCCTTACTTTCACTAAAAGTTAAATCACTAATTAGAGCGAGGTTCAACCTTCTGACACTTTTCTCTCGCTGATCCTTCCGATAAACTCCACATTAATCCTAATATTATTCTTCATTTTCTTCAGATGTCCAAAAATAATTTACAAATGTTTCCATTGTATTGTTATTCTATGTTTTCCAATCAATAGTTCTCCAACTTTTTCTGTTTACAGCAGATGCATAAATATTCCTCAGTAATGATGTGTGAAAAGTAGGTTAATCACCTCAGTAAAAAAAATGTCTTTTAAGCAGAAAGCGCAGTAATTCGTCAGTCCGAAGACCTCATATAAGAACAATACCTAATGCAAAGAGTAAATGTGATCCTTTTCTTTTTACATATCTAATCCTAATGATCTATACTCTGATTATATCCTTCGAGTCTGAAGTTTGCATTATCAAAAAAAAAAAATTGAAGCAACATGTTCCTTAAAGTAATGATTATGCTTATTTAAAAAAATTCATAATTTACAAAACGCCCGCCACTACAACTCTCATTTCTTCTCAATTCTATCAAACAATAATATTCAATATATATTTAAAAAATTATAAATATATAAAGAAAAAAGGCACGTGGTAGGAATCTATTGTAGTTTTTCATCTTTCTTCGTTGAGGTAAATTGTTGTTACTATTTTTAGTGTTAAAAAATTTCATATAAATTACTATTTCCCTTTTTTAAAGTCTGTTTTACAACAACACAAATGACAAAAAATGCTGCAAATTATCGCGATTTGCGGTAACAAGTCTTTTCTCATATGTCTCTTTTTTCATTGTGTAAATTTTTTTTTTGTGTTTTTTTTCACTATCTGTTGTGTAGAAAAATGATGAAAAGTAATTCTCTGTTCAATACTATGCGGTCTGTGTGTGTTTGTGTGTGTTATGTGTGAAGTGATCTTCATGTAAATGCAATTATTTCCTTTTGTTCTTGTTTTCTATTCTCAGTGATATTTCGTCCACTAGTTCTTTAAATAAACTACGAGTAAAGTATCTGTATAAAAAAATCATTGACTGAATGGAAAAAGAAGAAAACTATACAGTACAGTTCTACCATAAGATATTACATATTAAAAAATGTGTGTATAAAATTACAATGATAGTATTTCTCCTTGCAGAAAAGATCACTCTATTCTCAATAATTCCCTTATTTCTGCATCTTCCTCTTCTCTCTATCTCTGTTTTATAACATCTTATTTGATTGTAAAACATTGCTCTTATTTCCTTGCCACTTTTACTATCTTTCTCATGTTTTTTTTCTCCTACCTAAAATATATCACTTTCTTAATATCTACAAGATTACAAAGTAATAAAATCTGGGAAAAGATGCAGATATTCCACTCTTCAGTAAACCTAAACATGGTTCTATATCGTCATGAGTTCGAGAACAATACATATAAATTTCATTTTATATCCTTACACAAGTATAGATCTAATAAAAAATATAATAAAATGCACCGTAATCGTAATTCATTAGTTTTTCAATGATATAAAGAAAACTCTCTTCAATAATTTCATCAATTCGTGGAATGCTTCATGAGTGTCGTGTGTCCATCTGCGGACATCGTCTTTCACTGTGCTTTAGCCCCCCAACTTTCCATCGAGGGGTTGTGGGTGCGTCTCTCAATTGTGACGAGAGCACACACCCAATCAGATTGTATTGTTGTGCGACGCCAAGTCGCTTCCCTCCTCCAACTTCATGTCCTTGTCGTGCTCCAACTTGATAAACTTCTCCTTGTGCATCCGCTCCATGTGGCGCCCAATGTGCATCTTCTGCTTGGCGCGATACACGCAGAACGGGCACTGAAACTGTGGCTCCTTGCCGCACTCCCACTTCTGGTGGTTCCTCAGTGACGACTTCAGCTTGTACAGACGCCCACAGTCGGGACAGGAGAAGCCCGGATTGAGGTCACCCTTGCCACCGCCCTCCTGGTTCACCGACAGATCCGTGGGAAAGACCAGCGGATGCACACCCTCTCGCAGCTGCGTCACCAGCGGCATGGCCAGTCGCGCATTCCACTGATCCCACGTGAGTCCGGCTATTCGTGTGATGCTTAAATCCTCGGCGGCTGCTTCACGATTATACACATTGTATGGCATTTTGGGGATTCGACGTGTTTTGTTTTGTTTGTACAATTTTGTATGTTTGATTTGCGTGCGAGGGAGAACACAGGGGGAGAAATAAAGAAAAAAAAAACATGATTAACAAAATTAAAAATCCAAAATATCACACAATAACCTAGAGAACATATCTATACTGAACAAAAGATTAATAAAAGTCGATTACAAGCGTTAAATTACACTGGAGGATTCAAGATAAAGGGTAGAATTAGTGGAAGACAAGCAAAAAAAAAATAAAACTATAGGGAAAGAGAGATTGTCAATAGTACAACGAAAGAGGAGAAGCTAATACAAAAGTAAACAAGCACTTTAGAAGAAAAATATATATATAAAAAAAAACTAAAAGAAAATTCATTTGATGCAAAATAAATAATACGACACTCATATAAAAAATGTATTTTTCAGTATACAACAAAAAATTAAAAGCCAGTACATTTTTTAAAGGTAATTTTCCTTTCACGTAACCAATTGGTGTCTGTTGTCTTATATGTTAATTAATGTTGTTGAGATCGGTTGTGATCGTATTGGGATTTTTGCTTTTTTTTTGGGAGACAAAATTGTCAACGGAAAATTGGGTGAGAATATTCTGGCCTAAAACTAAATTCATGAAAACAATTCCATCTTGAAAAATAAGTTAAAAAAAAAACAGTATTACACACAAAAATTATTCATTCACAAATAGGAATGGTTTTTTGTTAATTACCAAAGCTTCTTCTTTTCCCTAAACATCCAATCTTGCTGCATCTGAACTTGATATTTATCAGTTAATCAGATTTATTGATTTCTCTTCTTTATTTCACGATGATTTTTCCTTAATTCTTTCCCACGCTTTTATTGTCGTCTACCTAAAAAGAGAAATATGTTAGAGAAAATAGGAAAAAAACTTACAAAATACTCACAGTTTTCCAGCGTAATCCTTCAATGTCTTGTGATGGTCCGTCAGATAATCCCTCGACGACCTAAAAATAGGTAAAAATGTTAGTATGATGTTTTAAAACTCCCTTATTTGTCGCCTAACATTCCAAGGAATCTGCAAAAAAGCAAAAGAAATATAATAAGTTATTGTCAGAGACAGTTTGGAATAAGATCACTTCCCGTCTGGTTTTGTTCAAAAAGTTTATTCAACATTCATTATATTGAGTTATAATATATATTGTTTATATTGTATTTTGAATCATACTTTCAAAATTTACTTTCTCCTTATATACTATACTTAGATTCTAGGCAATTATTCTCTCTTTTTACTTACAATCCTAATCTTGTAGTTTCATTAAAATATGAATTTTCTTTGATATAATGAAAGTGAATTTTTTTGTATCATTCATTGAAAAGTTAGTCAAAAATTAGTTTTCACTTTTCGCATTTTTTAGTAGTACAATGAAAAAAAAATGCTATGACTATTCTTATGAAATAAATTGTTAAATGTTAGATTAAAATATTACTCAAAATGATTTAAATAGTTGCATAATTCTCTTCAAGTCTACGTGTGAATAAAAGCAAAGAGAATCATTCATTACTGACTCACTTATTTCATTGGGACAAATGAAACTGTAATCCTAAGATAAATGATTAAGACTTTTCGTGTTTACTTAAGACGCATATAAAAAAACCTCCGTAGAGAAAGTAATAAAATAGTGTGACAAATTATAAATCTATGTGGGATTATGTTTATTAAGCATAAATTCATCCTCAAAATTTGTAATGCAAACATGTTATTACATGAAAAATCCTTTCTCTCTGTCTCATTCTTAACACTATATGCCATTTTCTTTACGATCCTTACAAATCTACTCGCTGAAAACTAAAGTTAAACGTCTATTTCTTGGGGAGGCGTTGGGAGGTATGATCTTTTCACGCTGAAAAGGAAGTATTAGTGATCTAGAGCTATTGATCTTTCTTACTGTTCTCGTTGGATGATTGATAAATAATGTGTTGCAGTTATTTTTTCTTGGAGGCAGTCAAACGCGCAGAAAAGCATCGCTAAAAATACTTAAAATCTAATACAGCGTATAAAGTAAATCTTTGAATTGAATAAATTGGCAAACCAGACAAGAGTCATAAAAGGAGTGTCCTTTCAAACTAAAAAAAACTCCACTCAAGATAAAAATGTATTGAGACATTCTTTGTAAATTCAATGCGACAAATAAAGCTACGCCTAAAGAGAATTGTATGTTTCTCGCTACACAAAAAGAAACGCGCTTAAAGGAGAGTATAGATATGATGAGAAATCATCAAGTACAAAGATAAGGGTGAGTGCCGATATCGTCCTACATGGACCGATGCTTGCGACGCGTCTCCAACTGCGGCATCTCGGCGTGATGCTTGCGTATGTGCACGCCGAGATTGCCGCGCTGCTTTGCCTTGTACGCGCAATGTGGACATTGGTGCATCGGCTCCTTGCCGCCGCACTCCACGTTCTCGTGGCGACGCAGCGTGGACTTCCAGCGGTACTTCTTGCCGCAGTGCCGGCACACGTACTGCCGCCCCACGTCGTCATTGGAGTCACTTTGGGAATAGTCGTAGTTGGGCACGGTGCGTCCCTCGATGAACGCAAATTTGGTGTCGTCCGCAGAGCGACTCTCGTAGTTGGAATCGGCGCGCGTCTGATCGCGATCTATGCTGTCTGTGGAATCAGAGAAGCCAATCTGCGTGCCGTCGGGCAACTCGATGTCGTCAATCTCATAATTGGACAGATCACCCATGATGCTGGATTGGAGATCCTCGTTGATGGTGGATGACTTATTGGAATTTGGTGCAATGATTATTGAGGCGGGTACTTTGGCAATTTCAGTCTCGATCACACTCAGTGTCGATCCGCCAACACTTGTCGGCGTGTTGGTGTACGCACTCCCAGAGCTGGCGGTCACCGCCGTTCCGCTCAGCACCGATCCCGCCTCCGCCATCTTGCCATACTTCCGCGACAGCGAGAAGTTCAGCAGCTCGAACTTGTTCAGGCTCTTGTGCAGCGACACCGGAACGGGCTGCTTCATCGAGTACTTTATCCTCGGGTGATTCTTCGTGGCCGCTTTCGGCGGTGCTGACACCACTGATGTTACCACAGATGTGGTTGCTGCCGCCTTCGACGCCTTCTGCAATTGTTCCTGCAAAGCTCTTTTTGCATCTGCAATGAATAAACAAGTCAAAAGTGAGTGTTTTTTGTAACCCTTTTCACAAATGATCAGGCACCATTCTCAAAGAAATGCACTACTCTCTCTCTCTCTCTCTCATCACAGCAAAACGGGAAGGAATCCTAGGCACAAGGATTCCCTCCAGAGTGTGTGGTGTCTTTTCAATGAATTGTCTTTTGGTATGGCAAACAAAATTATTGAATATAAATCAGTATAGAGTGCTATTAGAAAATTAGATAAATCCTGCATGCTACTAACAAATCAGTATTACAAATTATATTCTGCTTTGCATCTCTATTGATCAGTGAAGATCACTAGAGATAGCGAATAAGTGTGCGATCCTGAAGTCTCAAACTGGAAATGCTCAACAATCACTCTGGATAAAAGAATGTCGGATCGAACTTCAAGATCGCCAAATAAATTAAATAAATATACCAATGATCTCTCCTCTTCACATTCTACAATTTCACATTAAAATCAATTTCTAATGTCCTAAAATTAAAGATACATGTGCTGTGTGTGTGTGCGCTGTAAAGTTGTATAATGGTTGTAACACAAAGGAAATGTCCTATAAGTCCTAAAGGTAATTCAATTGTATTGTACATAACAAAAAAAAAGAAAAAACTTAACTAGTGAATAGATGGATGATAGTATGTATAATATAAACATAAAAACACAAAAGTTCGTGACACTTTATTTCGAGAAAAGCAACAACAGAAAATATGATTACATATAAATTCACTTAAATAAATGAGTGTGTTTTTTGGGTTGAGGAGCAACACAAGAACAAGAACGGGGTGGTGAAACGGATGGGGCGCATGAGGATCCATGATAGTGTGTGATCGTGTGAGGAGAAATGATTAAATAAAGGGCGGAAATATGGAAGAGAGAATAGAGAGCTTTATAAATAAGATTTACCACTGAGATCCGTTATCACTGCCCTCTTTACTTCCTCCGGCGTGTCCTCTTTCCGTTTATCCGTCGATGGTGTATTGATTTCCAACAGAACAAACTTATCATTTTTCTGTGTCACTACAATATTCTCATTCTCCAGCAAGCATCCACTCAGGACATCACCGAAAGTGATGGTCTTCACATCTGAAAGACATTTAGAAGAGTTAGTCAAGTGATCGCAGCACTCAAAAACATCACTTAAAATAAAGTAATTATAGAGACATAAAAAAAAAACATGATTACAGATGTGATCTAGAGTGAACCTAGGGCATAACTTGTGGATTATAGTATTATTGAAAAATAAAACATATACCAGAATGATAATGCGAGTGATAAAGTATAAATGTTAACGCATCCAATGTACATGACCGTGTCACCATTATCCCTGAAAGGCAAGATCATTGAGAGAGGTACCGATAGAAAGATCACTTTATTGCATTTGAGAAGGGGTGGTATAATAAGAATCAGGCCATCATGTGACACTGTCCAGCAGCATTTGGCGGCATCTGTGCTTCAGATGCATGTGCGACTTGAGGCTGTGGCGATATCTCGTCACATAGGGACACAAGAGGCACCTTTCGGTGGGCTCGACGCCACACTCAAACTTCAAGTGACGCTGCAAGTTTTTCTTGTACGTGTACATCTTCTGGCACCGCGGGCAATTGTGCTGATACATACGATCGCGTCCTGTGATCTCATTCAAGTGCGTCTGCGATGTCAGCAGCAATACTTTGTCTGAAAGAAACAAACAATAACACCGTTAGTATGGGCAAAGTCAAAGGAGATGAAAGCACTCTCGAAGAAAAATAAAGCGACTAGACAAGATCGCAAGCGAAAGAGACAATTTAATCTCAGTTGTACGGTGAAAATATCTCTTTTCATTCCTACAAATTATTAATCTTTTACAGCATCATTACACTAGTTAGCTTACTACAAGTCCACAACTAAGGCTTCTTGATCAATAACGATCATCACTTAAAAAACTTAGGCCACGGACGCCATTGTCTCAGTGTCTCTTTGCAATGTGACTCTGCAATTGGTTGTTCCGCTTGAACTTCACTTGGCAGTATGTGCACTGAAACTGAGGCTCCTTGCCACACTCATAGCGGAAGTGTCGTTTCATGTTCTTCACAAGGGTGAATCTCGTGCCGCATTGTGGACAAGGGTAGCGTCGTCTGTTCTCCTGATCGTCGCCACGACCGAAGATCCTCTCCTTATCCGCCTTGGCGTCCTCACTGTTGCCACTACTCTCCTCCACGGCGTTGTACATGTAATTGTAGAGATTCCCACTCACGATCGTGCCGGTCTGCGCGATAGCGAATCCCCCAGAGCTTGAATACACGGCTCCTGATGATCCGTAAGACGGATTGGTAGACGGCCCTGCATCGTAAATGAAGTCGTCACAGAGATTTATGTACTCCCCTTGGAAGTGCGCATCTGAAAGGAGAGAAGAGACATTCACACATATGGCAACAGATCGCAATCATCACTCTACGTAGTCTAGGTTTTAGTAGGCAAACTGATAAAAAATCTAACTCTCAACTATGCCCTATGCTAAGCCTCGCTCGGCCCATGGAAAGACTACAGAGGATGTTGTTATATTTTCAAGAATCGCCGAAATTACATTTAGTGCGCTTCGGCAAAATGTTTCAGCAGCGAGTCCTTGTAGATGCAGCCAAATGGACAGAGATGACACTTGAACATTGTATTCCTGGCGCTCGTCTTTGCCGATCTTCCGTATCTCTGATAGAAGATCACTTCTCTCTCTGGCATCTCTTCCTCCTCCACTTCCACAATCTCCTGACCCACTGTCTCCAGTATTATATCGTCTGCCATCTCCAATCCGTCCGAACTGATCTTCTTGAACGTCATGTACTCAATCTCAATGGGTTCATCATCTAAAAAGAGAGGCAAAAAGACACAATCACATTAGTTCTACACATCAAACGCACAATTCAACATTCTTCTTACAGTCTTTCTCCTTCTCCCACAAAACTCCCTTCCAAAGAAAACACGCGTGAGTGCATTTGAAAAAAGGAAACACCAGCGGTGTTTTATTCTGGCATGTTAATATGTACAATTCTCTTTGTCGTACGATCTGTCATCCTTTCCCCTGCGACGTCGTCGCGACTCAGGAAAGTGCGTGTAGGTGTGCAACTTAAGATTGTCCTTCCTCTTGCAGTGATAGTCACACATTGGGCACTTGAACAGTATTTTGGGTCCCGTGTATTCACACTCAAAATTCCGATGCCGCTGTAAGCTCTTCATCGACATATACGTTTTCCCACAATCAACGCAGCAAAATCGAACTGCAACTGAAAATGCAAATACACATCATTACAACAGTGCCACACATTCAACCAACACGAGAAACTGTAAACTACACAGTCTCCCTTTTCATCACTAGTGCTTTTCTCTTGATCGTACGCAAAAATCTTCAAGTCATTCAGCAATGCAAAATTAACAGAAAACGAAAAATAATCTCTATATACAGACTAATTAACTGAAGTGACAAATATAACAAGTATTTTTTTGTACTCTATCATTATATATTTTCCTCGACATAAGTGAAAAAAAATAAGTGATCCTCTTTCGGTGGAATCCTCTGATATTTCTCCGTCTTTTCTCTCTCTATCCATCGAATTTCATTCTGCCGATCTAGAATTTTAGAAACTCTTGTTAATAAGTAAATAAAAATGAGGTTTTACAATATTCTCTCTCTCTCTCGGTCTTTCCCACCCAATAAAAACCCCTTTCTTATCCACCAAAAATTTATTATTAGAAAGAACTCATATTGGCTTTTCATAGAAAATCTCTCTCTCTCTACACAAAAAAATGTAAGAAAATCCTTCGCTTTTAAATTAGGTTTTAAAAAAACTATAATCTAACATTTAAGGTAACTTATTGAATTTAATCAAAATAAAATATCATTTCTCGTCATGGTAAATGCAATCGTCTATGGCTTGAGTGTCTTTTTTTCTTTTAATATTTGTGTTCTACTTTCAGCATAGAAAGCTTATGACAAATAAATATAAATATCTTAAGTTGAGAGCAAATATCAAGCAAAATATAAATCTAAGTGAGAATGAAAAATTATTTAAAAAAAAACACACACAAAGGTAAAAGAAAAAAACGCTTAGAAGAATTAAAGAAAATGGCAATTTCCTCCTCCTCTCTTGAGAGAGACAAGACTCTAAACTTATACTCTAAGAAATGAGATTAGAAGGTATGATAAAACAGAGGTAGTGAAATCCTCTCAAAAGACAAAAATACTGATTAAATGAGATTGAATGGCAATGTTTCAAAGATCTTCCATTGGTCCCTCTTTCTGCCTCAGCAGTTGTGACCACAATAAATCCATTAGAAAAATATATATCATCTTCTCGTTAGACGCCTTAAAACTATGTCTTTTCATCTTTATATAGAATATATGGAAAAATTCCTCTCAAAAAACTTTGTGTTTGGGACAAAAAATATAGCCTTGGCAGGAAAGTTACTGCATGTCATTTGGTACAAATTTCTGTGGTTGCGTTGAGCCCCCCAATTGGGGACTTTTGATGCTGGCCGCCGGCAATTCGGCCGTCTTAAACTGTATATTCATCTTCATCTGAAAATCCTCAGGCAACGGTGACGGCACACCCTTGCGCTTTGACTTGCTCAGCACCGTCGTCGTCGATGCTGATGGCAGCGGCGAAGACTGCTGTGAGCGCTTGCCCAGGAGCGATCCCGAGGAGAACTTCTCGAAATTCATCAGGCGATTGTAGATCTCAATGCTGTCCGCCAGTGTGGCACCCTCAGTTGTTGCCGTCGAGTCCTCCTTCTTCGTCAGCCCGCCAATGGAGAACTTCTCAAAGTTCATCAAGCGATTGTATATCTCCATGTTGTCCTCCATCTGAGCTTCTCCACCGGTTGGCACCTCCTTCTTTGGCACAATCAAACTTATGGCACGATTGTACATCTCCATGTCCTCCTGCATGCTGCCATTGTTCATACTGCCGCCCTCAGACGCCGGCGATGAGTCCATCTTCGGCGTCACGATGCCATGCTTGGAGTTGAGATGACGCACCAGGTGATATTTTCGCCGAAACTTCGACGGACACAGCGAACAATTGAATCTCGGCGGAATACCAATGCACTCATCGCGCATATGGCGCTGCAAGTGGCGCTTTCGCAGATAACTCTTGTCACACACATTGCAAAAGAATCGCTGAGATTCTGGGTCATTGTTTAAAAATTGGAGCTGCGGTGTGCATGTCAATTGTTCTGCAATTAGATGGTGGGAAGAGAAGAAAAGAAAAAACAACTATCATTTTGTGTGTGTGTCTTTGTGTATCTCTTTAGCTTTTCTTCGGAAAAGAAATCAACAAAAAAAAACTCAAAAATCAAAAAATTTCATTACTTGGTCAAAACAAAACATCTAAAGAAACATAAATCTGTGTAATCAATTTATATCAAGTAAATTTTGCAAAAAAAAATCTGATAGCAAATGTTTCTACGCAAAAAAATCTAATTGCTTTTCTCTTTATTATATTACTGTTGTATGCAAAACAATAGCAAAAAAAAAGAACGTGCAAATCAATCCTTCTAATCACAAAAAATAAACCTAGCAATTTTGACTACTCGTGTGTAATTTTGACCCATAGATCTTGCAATTATTTTTGCAACACAGGGGAAACAATCATAAGCTGAAATTCAATGAAAAGACCATTTGATTTTCTTTCAAGAATATCTCTTCTTTATTTATACTGAAAATTGTGTGTGTGTGTCGTGTGTATTTGTGTCTCTTCGTCGTCCTTTTCTCCTCTCTTCCTCACCACTTCGTATGGCCATGCTTGTGTCTCATGTGCAATTTCAAATCGTACTTCCACGTGCAGACGAAGGAACAAATTGGGCACATGAAGCGTCGCGCGACTTTGGCAACAGGACGTGAATACACATTTCGATCAATAACGCACTCATTGCAGCTCCCAATCATTGTGCAACATTTATACATTGGCCTTATCGTCACTTCAGGCTCACATGCTGTCCCTAATGCATCTGAAAGTATTATGGTAATAACAATTGCAATCTTGAGTCTCTGTCTCCTACACTTTTGTGCCCTTTTCCCTGTACACAATCTCTGTATTTTCTTGCAAATTTCAATTTATTTTCGTTTAGAAAAGTAAATATTGTTAGAATTGCAGATTAATTATTCCTAGCCAGAACCTGTTCACATATAAAGATACACCAGACTCAATTCATTGCTTTATTTCTGCGTGGAATCAAAAATCTCAGATACAATAGTCAGAAAAATCACTGTCGATGGCGGGAATTCCTCTCAGCTTTACCTTCCATTTATGCTTCTCTAACCTCAAGACGAAATTCACCACTGAAAAGCTTCAGCCAAACCACACTTAGCAAGTACGCAATGATTTCGAAAAAAAAAAACTGCTAGAAGACAGCGAAGACACCATCAACAAATTGTGAAGTGTTCGAAAGCGAAAGCTGCACTTTTCAACATACCGTACCAGCTTTCTAGCAGTGGTGAAACACTGATTTCACCTCCCCTCGAAAGCAACGGCAGTTGATACACGAACCGAAAAGCACATCTTAACACTTTCGAACACTATCACAAGCACTTTATCGAAGACAATTCAAACTCACCACTGCGTTACACACAACCCTTGAAATCATCTCAAAAAGTAAACAAAACCAGCATTGAATCTATGAGCAAAATCATTGTGAATGAATTGAAAAGTTGAGAAGGAAATCTATTGAAGATTTAAATCCCGGATTTCTCTATGGAATGTAACACATTAATACACTCTTTTCCCTCCCATTGAACCCAAGTAATAATATTGTTGTGTGTGGTTGAGAGAAAACGGAGAAAATGAGGCTGAAAAAAGTACTTAACGACTCGATGTGCGGCTGAAAGAGAATACCTTTGGGTTATGGCAATAAAATATTATATAGAGAATATGTATATATATAAAATTGTATAAAATATATTAGGTAATGAAAAAAGAGTCACCGTATCGATACATTACAGCGACTCCATACTTACATTTCAAACCTCTCCTTAATAGCCATTTATAAAACTATTTTCATGAACTGTGCTTTAGCGTTCATTAAACTCTTGAACGCTTTTCTCATCCATGTGTAAATGAATATAAATTGTGTGTGTGTGTGAGTGTGTTGATCTGTTGCGTTTTCAATGTTTCATGATGAGAAGTGGTGTTTTTCACTCTTGTGTGGCTATATTGATATGTGTAAATTTGTCGTGTCGACTTGCTATATAGATATATATACATATGAGAAATGGATTTGCGCGAGACGGGAAAGCGCCAAGGGAGGGTGTGTTTCAATTGAGAAGAAAAAAGTGTACAAATGCTTTAAATATACACTTTTCTTCACCTCTCTCTCTCTGTCTCTCCACACCACCCGCCTTGTGCCGCCTCCTTCTCGCCAACTTGATGCTTGTGTGTTTACGATGAAAATACCTCACTGTAAATTAATTAAAATTTACAGCTACATTGAATTACGATGGAGACTTCATTGGATTTTTCGTTGTCTTGCCATGTCTCTTGAACTTCATCTTTCTCGCCTCTGGCCACACAACTCTCTCACTCTCCTCGTCTCACTCACTCTCTCTCTCTCTCACCTTTTCTCGCGCAGAAATGTGTGAGAATCTCTTTGAGAGAGCGTGTATTTTGGCCGAGGAAATTGCAGATGAATGACATCACCATTTACACTTTTCCATTCCTCTTTTTCCTCAAGCACATCACACACTAAAACTTGTTTGCCAACTTTTCTCTTTTTCTCATCCATAAAAAAAACCCGAAAAAATGCATGAACTTTCAACAGAGAAACCACGAATCTCACACAGCATCTCTCCAGAGAGTACAACAATTCTTATGGTCTTCTTCCTCTCCACTTCTCCTCCTCCGCATGTGAAGTAAAAAATTCCATAATAAATTGCAAGCTGAATCATGATGTGTGATTGTAGCTCAAAGTTGAAAGCTCTTTCGCGCGAACCCGAGCAAAAAAACACAACACGCCAGCAGAGCATTGAAAGAAGTCAAAATTGACCGACTTTTCTCATCGCACTACTCATTCTTGTCAACCGATTTAAATCGCGCTAAACGACGGATTTCACGAACAAAAGCAATCCGGAAAAAATATGACATGGTAAAAAGAAAAAGAATAAATTACATAAAAATATATGAAAGAGATAAAATACATAAGATGTGTGTAAAATAAATAAATAAAAGGGGGAAAAAGCATTTAGAGAGTTCATGCGAAAATGAAGTATGAAATAAATATAAGATGCCTCTTTTCATTTTTTGCAGAATTAATCATTAAAAATTCAGTGATGAAAATTGTGTGTTTGTGAATCTATATAGAACATAAATAATATATAAAGGATTAAAATGATTTGAATTGAGATAAATATATATGTACACAAAAGAGTAACATAAATTATGTATGATAAATAAGATATTAAAAATTGAAATCAATTTAATTTTCTTTATCATCAAAGCTGAATTTTTTTTCTTTCTCAATCTATTTGTGAAATCTTCTCTTTTTTTCTCGGTTCATGTATCAACATAAGAATATGAGTTATACTAAAATTAAATAACCTTTTATACATATCACCCCACATTGAAATTAAAAAAAAATAACTATCTAAGCGGGAAAAATGCCATGGAAGTTTTCATTTAAGAGAAACATTTTTCATTTGATCTGGGCCAAAAGTCACAAAACAGAACATGACGCACACTCAGGAAAATATTTCTCATCACAAATTTCCATGCTATCTTTCCCCAAAGTTACTTCTCAAAATTCTACCACAATCACCAATTTGTAAGAAAATACAGAAAAAAACTCATTACTATATAATACTTCCAAACAAAAACTACATTGTAGTCAACGTGATGAAAATTGTAATCACACGACGCGATTTGCCATTGAGATAGTGAATTGTTATGTGGAATGAACCATCGATATATAGCAATTATGATGTGTTGTTTCATCGTGAAATTTGTACATAACAGAGATAAGAGATAGGCACTTTTCTGCCCACTGTTGTCATGTATTCTGGTACTAATAAACACTGATTCTCTCTCATAATTTCCAATCGTACGACACACGAGTGAAAGATTTTCACATTTTTTCTCTTTCTCCGCATTTCTTATTTATCAATTTCTTCAGTAAAAACAATAAAACAATTGATATCAAGTACAAATAAAGAGGAAGAAAAATATACACAAAAAGCTAGGAGATTAATTTTTTCGTGTGTCAACTGGAAATTTCATGACACTTACCTGCATTTTTATTCGATATTTAAAATGTGTTTAATAGAAAAGAAAGATAAATAATAAATGAATATAATTTTTTTTTCTATCTCATAGTTAGAATCAATGCTTATTACTTGAATTTTATACAAAAAGAAAATTTCCACCGTATTTTCATCACGTTTTCAATATCCAACTACAATGTCATTTGTGTCTATGCAACAAAAATATCTCTTTATTACGATCCTTCGTGATTTGTATGGTAATGCTTCGACGGTATTAATTTTCTCACCTCCTCTATCTCTCTCTCACTCTCTCTCATCTTCATTTCTCATCTTATAACTTCATAGCATAAGTGCAATCAAGTCATTATTAATTGTAATTTGTAGTGGAACCATTGTTGTTAATTTGCTGTGGAATTTCACAAGAGTGAATATTCTCTGACTTTGAAAAAATAAAAAGCTCTTAAACTTGAGAAAATGCACCTCGTCACATTATCATACCCATCACAATTGGTGGATCGTCTGGGATAATTGAATTTTCAGCCTACCTTGTGCATCCCGATGTTGTCCAGCTGATTCCTGTCCGCTCATAACAAACTCGTCTTGAGATCTTTCGATTTGCCACTGAGCATATCCTGGAGGAAAAGATAAAGCAAAAAGCGCAAATGTATAAAATGCCATTTCTATGATGATTGACACAATGGACAAACCTTGACTAGAGCCTTCTCCACCATGACTGGGTCCAGCTTGTTCCAAATCATCCAGCAATTCCTCATCGTCAAGTGTCAGATCCTCAACATTTCCCTCGTTGCTCTCGTCATATTCATTTTTTGGTTCGATCAGCATGTCCGAGTGCGTTGAATGTTCCATCTTCTCCTTGCCAGTCGCATCAGAATCACCTGCACCGCCACCCTGCTTCATTCTTGACACTACCGGCTGATGCGATTCACCACCATCCGCCCCATCATCGCCATTGTCATCCATCTCCCTCTCAATGTCACCCCTGCTCTCGTGCGATTGGTGGTCAGTCTTTTTGGTAACATTCAATACGCTTGCGGAAGAGGTAGCTGAGGTAATAGTTGGCATTGATGTTGAATGGGTGGACGAAGCAGCATGAGGCATTGAATGTGACGAGGAATTTGAGTGCTGGTCATGATTATCTACACAGCATAAATATAAAAAGAGAAGAAAAAACGCAACATGATTAGAGATTGCGAAGTATAAGTTAAACATTATGTTCAACAGGCAATTTCTTTTTCTCTTTCATTTCTCCATCACATACATCATCGCGCACACAACATCATCGCGATGCTCGAAAAAGTTCAAGGTGAATATCACTATTAAGAAAAAGTGGCGAGAGAGCGTGGGTCACACTGCAAAAGTAACGTGTTCCACTAAATAGCTTTTGATTATGTAGACAACACACCAAATTGCATTATCTCTTTTCAAATCAATATTGTTACTTCAAAATGCATCTCTCTCTCTCTCTCTCTCTCTCCTTCTTTCATTATAGCCACGATATTTGCAAGTTTTCAATAGTGGCAAACATGAATTGTTTTTGAATTGAGAAATATTATATACAGTTTCTCTCCTTACCGCCAATATTGTTTGTTTCTATGCTCCTCCGGCGAACTTTCTTTCGTTTTCTGGAGTTGGGACTAGTCGAGCCCTCTCGTGAATCAGACACATCTGGCTCCATGTCTAATGTGGCGGGATGCTTCTCAATGCGTGGCCTCTTCTGCTCTATTGTGAGGCCAGCCGTCGTCTGCTGTAGGGCAAGGAAAATAGAAGACTTTTAGCACCAAAGATCTCCTCATATGCGCTGAAAAAGTGTCTCTCTCTCTTCCTTTTTTTTACCTTTGCTGCAGGTACACTTGCGTGTGCTTTTGTTGATGTATCAGCTTTCTGGGATGATCCACCACTTCCGCCACTGCCCCGACTATCGGACAGTCCCTTGATCTGCAGTGATTCGGCTGCCTTGAGCAGTGCAGCCAATTGATCTTGTGATATATTCACCTCGCCACGGTACATATAGTCCATCATGGCGCGCAATTCTTGAAATTTCACATCTTTGAGAATAAAGATTGGGTGTTTGTCATATTGTTGAGAGAGTAGTGCCTGCAAATGGAAGAATATATCACCCCACATCAGCATTAGTATCGATTTTCTTAACACACAACAGAACCTCAAAGTCCCGTGTGAGCCCACAAAATATGTGGGCACACACAAAATGGATGGGAAAATCAATAAAGGATCTCTCGAGAACTCAACATTTTCCTCTCTATCTCTCTCTCTCTCTCTCGTTCCCTCTCTCGTTTCCCTCTCTTTCTAACTCTCCACAGTCTAGAGATCTTTTGTATTTGTTACAACACATGCCCACCCACTGAGGAGCCCCCTTCTGTGAGCCATTTGTTTCATCATCATCTTTCCCTTGTTCTCTCTTCTTCTCCCTAACGCTTTTTCTCCCCCAAGAGACGACGAGCTCAAGCGGCTTATGTGCCTCCAGGGGGAGACGAGACAATGAAAGACACACTCCGTTGCAAGGGAAGATTGGACGTACGCCCCCGATGATATGTGCCTATGTACCCAAAAACCAAGCGACGCCAGAGCCAACCCTCATTATAACCATTCTTTCCTTCCCCTCTTCTCGCTCTCGCGTGTGCCCTCGCCCGAATATCACTCCACCATTGCGCATGAGTGAGCCACACAAGCCGTATTGCGAACATACAGCCAAGAGCGAGGATAAAAAACCGACAACTTCCCCCAAAAGATAGCACGAGATGATAGAGAGGCTATGAGAAATATTCATGTTAGGGTGGGTGTGCGCGCCTGGTTTTGATGCCGCGCTGACGAGGGACTTTTGGGCCCACGTTCGCTCTTCTCTCCCTTCAACATCACTGTGCGCTCTCTGTATATCTGTGTAAGATCAAGTTTGTATTCACCCTCCCATGCCCATGTTATGTTCTCGACTCCCTTCAGCCCTTCATCCCTCTTTTCTCATTTCCACCAGAGGGTCTTTCTTCCCTCCTCAATATCATCTCAGCGGCGCACACCCCAACAGAAACCCCGAGTGATATCCTTCGAAAATGGCTGTGTAGTCCCAAACCAATACAGACTACACACCCCAAACCTATATAACCACATGTATCCATGCTACAGTGAAATTTTCAACAGCTTTCGATCAATAGAAAGGTGGGATCTTGCGCACAACTCACATCCGTCGTGCAACATAATCCTCTTTGTGGGGAGAAGAAAAAAAATTATAAAAATGTGAAGCGTCGTCGCCTCAATAATATTGGCTACACATCTTTTCTTCATTCCTTCTTCTTCTTCTCTTCAAACTTTGTCTCGTCTTTCCCACCTTCTCTCTCACACACTCTGCCTCTTTTTTCCTCCATTCCCACCTATGTATGTATGTAGCCTGGGTGATTTTCTTTGTCTCCACACACGATCGATACAAAAGTGGAGGATGCTCACTGTGATCAATCATGAAAGCACAGGGTGAGGCGCACACAAATCGCGTGACAATCTATCATGTTATCAAAATATATATTCCGTGATATTGCCTACAAAACTTCATGAAGAGTGTGTATTGACTAAACATTTAAAAGAAAGATCACGGAAAATAAATTTCAAATCAACGCCACAAAAAAAAAACGCATTAACTTCACCGACAGAGTTCACGTGAAAAATGCCCCATTCTGAGATTTCATGTGTAGTCAGAGGAGAAAGAGAAGTGATCCCGCCTCGGGCAAAAATTGAGAAAGAAGGATGAAAATGAAGATTGAATGATTTTCTTTTACTTCAATCAATTTTTTTTCATCGCCACCGCTCACTCACAAAAAAAGCTCAAGAAAATATGTATTACTCACCGCAAAATACGGACTGCACGCGGAGAGAACAACTTTGTGTGCTTTCAAAAATTTCCCTTCCGCCGCCAATGTACAATCAACTAGCGTTCCATTTTCCAAAAGTGTGTCGAACACACTGATGAGTGTGCTCTGGTGATTGTTCCATCGTAGACAGAACTGTTGATCATCGTCCATTTTTAGTTTTTCTGCAAAGACATAGAGATAAAAGAAATAAATAAATGGATAATATGAGAAAATTATTACACATTTGCTGACGACACAAGAACGACTTCATTACGATGGAGCATAAAATCGAGCCACGCTAAGAGTCATCATCATGGGCTATCATTTTATATTGGAATAAATAATCATAGCGAATTGTGGAGAGATAAATGTTTTCTTTTCTTTTCTTTTACACATCTCTTGGGGGAGGACCCGTACATACAGGCAGGCAGGCATAGACAGACACTCTCTCGCGATCAGAAAATCCAACTCCGGAGACGAATACTTAATTCCACACCCACGAAAATGGTTTATTAACCGTTCCAACAGACTCAAGCCAGCAAACTTCGTGACATTCTTTTCTCGCGGCTTCTTTCCAACTCACAAACTGTGTGGAGAAACACTCACACACATGCACACAATTCCAAACCACACTTAATTCCAATGCTCTGGAGGAAATACGAAAAATATTTTTCGTCTTTTCATCTCCACCTCTCTTTACTCCTCCTCTTTTCCCCATCAATTTTTCACACAAATATTCTCCTGTGTCTTCTCGCCACTTTAAAATTCATTTTGCTCTTGTCTTTCTCTCCATCATCTTCGTCTACTTCTCTTCATCGTGTGTATAAGCCAAGAGTCACAGAGTGATGTGAAAAGAATTTCAAAGAGTGGAGTGGAAAAAAGGAAAGAAAATGAACAATTATACCCATCATTTCGATCATGAAAAAGAACAGAGAACAACCACAAACGCAACATTTTGCAAGCACACATGAAAAAGCTCTCATCTCCCCAGCAGATGCCATTTTTGTGGTTCACACTTCACACAACTGCACTCGTGTGCTGTGTGCATCAACATCAATTCACTATGTTTATGGGAAAAATTGCCATATTTATCTTTTTGCAGCCCATTCAATTCCTACCAGCTTTATACATTTCACACGTACCCACGTCCACATATTTTCCATCCCTATCTCACTCTCTTATGTTGACTTGGCATAACATCCAGCCCAACATACACAAACAGACTTTCCAGCGAATAACATCCGACCGGCTACAACACACTTGAATCAACGTCTCCGGACAAAAGCACAAAAATCAACCGAGAATGTGTACAGCAAGAGTGGAAAATATCGCAAAAACCTGACAAGGGGGCTTTGAAAATTCCAAGTTGCTCTCACGGCTCGTGGCTGTTTGCGATCAAGTCTGTGAAACTTGCTAGAATTTTGATCTCTTTTCCCTCACAATTTCCCACAAGTTCAAATTCCATCACGAATCTCCATTGCAACCCATTTAATCTTTCAGCATACACACATAGTCAAAACAACTATTTCCACATAAAATTTATGCTTGTGTCTTATAAAAGCACACAACACGCTCGACAACGACTGGGGGCTTTTATATCGCGAAAAATGTTGATGTGTATTTTTCTCTCACATGATTATTGCTAAGCACTCTTGGAATTGACTCAAGAGCGAGCGAGAGAGATACATTATAATGTGTAATACATGAAATATAAAATGCTTTCAAGAAAATATGCGGCAATGGCAATCAAGTTTGAAGGTCAAGATAATGTGACCAACTATACTTCTCAGAGTCAATCCAACCAGGCAACATATCGTCAATGTGAAAAACGTTGCAAAAGCTAAGGAGTGCGCAAAATACAACACACTCGCGGGGCACATGTGGTGAGAGAGAAGCCGTGCTAAAGCTGTTGAAAATTAGCAACACACGTCGCGCAGCTTATTCAAATTGAGAAACCCAACATATAGAAGAATGGAAGAAAAATAGACAAGCTTTTGTAGGGATGACTCATCCACTCGCGACAATAGTGGGAAATTTTCATCAAAATGGTCACACAAAGCGTCATCCATCCGCTTCGTATTATATGTTGCCAATTCGTCAGGACGAGAAACCCCTCAATCGGGGTGATATTGCAACTGATCAATTTGGAACGGGAAAAAGGGGTCACACATCATCATAATACAGCACAGGAAAATTATATTTAGGGGACATGGCATTACACAATAGAGAGAAACCCAAAATGGAGTGCATTTTGCGTCTCGACAAAGGGAAGGGAAATTCGACCCCAGATTGAAGCGTAGGTAACGCGCGTTCGCGACAAACGCACTATGGGGAGAAAACCCTCCTACAGGATGTCTCCCTGCCGAGAGCGAGTGAGAGAGAGCACATTCTTTGGCTGTTGCAAGGGGCCCACACGTAAAAAAAACGCACCAAAAGCAGCAACACAGCATATTCAAGAGAAAATAGCCAGGCAAGAAAACCAGCACGATACCCAAACACGAACCCCTCTTTTTCATCCAACATCCTCTTAATTCTCTCTCTTTCTCTGGTTCACTCGCCATCCTCCTCCCTCACGTGGCGCGACCCATAAGCAGTCTCCCTCTCTGGCTGTTCTTCGCAATGTGTGTTGGAAAAAATCAATATCAATAAAGCATTTCCATGATGGCGGCGACCCCGCTCTTAGCTGGACATGACGCCAACACAATTTTCCTTTATTAAACCTACTATGGCGCATTTGTATATGCGACTTGTGAGGCCCCAAAAAAACCATTCCTACCCATTCACACCACCCCAGAGACCTCACATTCTTTCCGAATAAAACAAATAAAAACTCACGTCTCAAGTAACAAATGATAAACTATTTAATAAACTATGCACATGCAAATATTTTACGACTTATTTACTCCTTAACACACACACCAAGCCGAACCTTATGCCTCTCCGCGGTTGCGCGCTTTTGCAAAGTATGTCAAACTGACTTGAATTGCAATGTTCTTCAGCGTGAGGAAAAACAACGACTGCCTGGCCAAGATATTGACATTCGAAATCCATAGGAAACCTACTCCACCAACTCCAAACGATACTTATTTCTTTCTAGGAAAAAAAGCCCCTCCAAAACATCGATCTTCCATGGAAAAACCTAATTTAATTTTTATGGAAATCCCTATCATGAAATCACAGTAAAATCCAACGCGATTTTACGATGAATTTCAAGACAAAAAAGCATATCTGGAAAATTCACTTTTCACATTCATTGAAATCCCAGTGTTAGGTTAAAAATCTCTTTTCTCATCATAAACTCTATATTATATTAAATCACACTTTTCCCAAGAATTTCTCGTATTCAATTCTCTCACTCTTTCTCGTCAAATGGAAAGAAAAATGTGTACATATAAAGTTGAGTGGAAGAAACTCTCCACACACCACACAACATTAACTAATGTTGCTTACATAAAAAAAAGCTATCGTCGCAATTTCACACACAAGTTTTCCCATTGAAAGCCAACACCAAATTAAAATGAAGCCACTTCGAAGAGACCGGATGAGAATATTTTATACGTCATTATTTTGTGCTTTTTCCACTGCATTCACACACCATACAAGACAAGAGCCCATATTACAATCTTATGCAATTTAGATTGATATATATATATATATATTTTACTCACCATAATCAAACACCACACACAATACACACCTAAGTCTGTTTCAAGGGGAAAATGTTGCCCAGGAAAATCGTGAGGAAATTCAGAAAATTGCACTCCAACTTCCAGACAGAGACTGAGAGACACACACAACACTCTCAAGTGATACAAGTTCGTGGGCAGTCAAGAAGAAAACTAACTTAAATAGGATGAATTGAGCTTCAATTGAGAAAGCAAATGCGCGAATTCTTGCCTCTTTCTCTGTCTCACACACCCGTTCGCTAACCCATCACCGCAATTCATTAATATTATTCACACTCCACACACAATTGAATATTGAAACAGGCAAGTTGAGGAGAACGCGAACCGAGAGGAGTGAAGCTTTAATGCTCAACTTCTCATTTTCAATGTGTGCTTCGGGCAAATGCTATTCCACTTTTCACAAAACCTCCTCTCCTCTTGCCTTTTTTTCTCTCAAGCCTCCTCTTCGTCTTCTCTCTCTCTCACATCTCTTGGGTGTCTTTTTGCATGTGTGCCCCCGTCGTGTTTATTACACGAAGAAAAATACTCCAGTCTTTGCCTGCCTCTTCTTTTTTTTCTTCTTCTTTTCCCCCGCTGAAGAGGAGACACACGAGAGAGAACTGTATTGGGCCGCCTTTTTGTTGCTTTCCTTTTGGGCTTGGCAACTTCACAAACTCTTCAACCAACAACAGGGAGAGAGAAAACACCCGGATAAAAGTATGGAGAGAAGTTTATACGCCAAGAGTTTTCAGGCACTGAGGCTTTCAAAGCTACACAACGCTCTCTGTGGGTATGGGCAAATGACGCAGCGGAAACCTAAAAACGACCCAACGACTACATCCATCAACCATGAGGGGACGGATGAGAATTTCTCACTATACACCAAACTTTCAAAGTATTCGAAAGGGGGCACACCAGACAAACCGAGCATTTTCTCTGTATATCCATGAAAATTCCCCCCAAATTACAAGAGATACGGCAGCAAACATACCTATTCTTGGACTATTCACTTTTCATCCATCTTACACACACACAACACTCACATCATACATTTCAAATCTATGAATAAATCGTGAATATACTTTACCCAAAAACTGCTCTCCTGCCGCCAAAAAATATATCCTTTTCTCATCTAAACAGCCACTCTTTGTTTCCTCAACACTTGCAACTACCTACACTCTCCTCCCTCCTTGACTCTTTTTTTTCTTTCTTCCCTAATACTGCGTCACCAGCCAACGAAAACTTCGTCCTTTCACCTCAACGCGTCACACTACTTTGAGGATCGTGCAAGGAAAAATTTTCTACCCACCCGTTTCCCACACAGTTACATCAACTGCCCCAATATACTCTCCTAACCCACACACAGGCGCTCAACACACAGCCGCAGCAGGCCCGTTGCACGCAAAAGCTGCCACAGAGCCCAACTCTGTGCCCCGATTCCCAATTGTTTCGTGAAAATACCAAATCCTCTTTGGCACACACACACATACACACACTCGCTTGAGCAAAGCACGCTCTGAGAAAATGAACGCGTCGGATATATATCCAAAAGAGAACATCCAACATGGCAGGCAGCTCAGCCCGTTTCCAAGAGTAGTTGTGGCTGTTGGCTTCTCTCTCTCTGTGGCAAAGCCATCCTCGCCCCTCCTGTGCTTCGGCCCAGAATCGGGCGCAGCACACGAAAAACAGGGGCCGAGGGAAAATTCCCACTTTGCCCGATACTTCGGCTCCATTCCGAAAAACCCACATAGAGAGACAGAGACAGAGCGAGAGAGGCCGACTTACAGAGGCCCAATTGGGTGAGCAAGAGTGAGATGGGCGCCAATAGTGCGCACTTCCAACGTACCCAACAAAACCTAGGGGAGATTCATCATCATGCTTTGGCCATCATTTTCATCTCCATTCAGCCACCCATCGTGCCATCTCACTCCAATCCCATCGGCAAAGACCCAAATATATTCAATTCTCTCCCATTCATACTCAATTGGCTCTCATCATCGCACACCGTCTCGCTCCAACTCACCATCAAATACTTTTCCTCATCCCTCTCGCCTTGGCGACCTGAAAAACCTCCTCTCTCGCGCTGAGCTGCCCTCTCTTAAGCCCCCAAACAAGACGACGCGCTTCACGTTGAGAAACCTCACCCTCTCGCAAGAAAGGCATTTTTCTTCTTGGAAATACTAATTCTTCTCCCGAATTTCTGCCTCTCACTCAGCAAAAACCCCGCAAAGGTAGAAAAACTTTTAGCTTTTCAACTTCCCAAAAGTACCGTCATAAAAATTCTTCCCTTCTCCCTTTTTTCGTCCACCTCAGGACAATAAACAGCGGTGTGGTCAACTATCTCCCTTTTTGGAGTTCACTTTTTTCCACAAAAATCTACCTTCCAGCACACCAACACACCTTTCCTTCTCATCCTCCTCCTCCGCCGCCTCATCTCCCAAAGATTAATTTTTCATCTTTCTTTCGCACAACGTCTCGAGAGCGCGTTTCTTCGCCTTGGGAACAACACACAGTCGACAGACGGAAAAGAAGAACAACATATTCCGAGATATGAGAAAAACGAGCAAAGAGGAAAAATTCCACTTTTCAACAATGTGAGAAGCTCTTCTTTGAGTGCGTGTGCATATTTCTTTCTCTCTCTCTCTTCTTTTCCAGCCATTGAAATTCTCAAGACTCTCGAGATGAAGAAAAAATGCCCAGCCAAATGGGTTGCTCCAATGGATGCACAATTAAACTTCTTGAGCACGCACAGAGTGAGGGATGGAGGAAACGGTACAAACTTCAGGCCCCGCGAACTTGGGCGTCTGGCAAATTATTCGGTAGCCAAAGAAGCTAGGGACGTAGCATGAAATATGCTAAAGCCCCATTTTAATTGCAAGAAAGCCAGTCACTCTTCATAATTTGATCAAGACAACGAGCCTCAAACGACTACGGAAAATCACTGACAATTTGGGTTATACGATCGTGATGATCAAATATTTTGTATACGATTTCTAATTGTTTATTCGATATGCAGAGGATTTTCAACAGGATGAACTTGAACAATGTGACCATGATCTTCATTCTGTGATCAAAGATTGGATAGTGAGCTTTATTTCTGCAAAGTATTGTTGAAATCATTACTTCACAGCATTGATGTGGTGACGAAAATATTTGGGTTTCAGACCTTTGTTTTTCGCTCTAAGACCGGATCTCTACGATCGCTGGAAAAGCTACAATTTCCACTCCCGCATTCCCACAAATACTCGTCACTCTTTATCGGAAATCTATAGAGATATTGGCGTGTTTGAAGAGCGATTTCCTGCATGCCAAAAAAAGCCATTTGAGTTTTATATTTCCCAATAATGACGCGCAAGGGCCGAAAAGAGAGTCCATTGTTTGGCCTCCAGCGTGAAGTTGGCACAGTGAGTCTGTTGGGAAAACGGACGCGAGGAGTCGGTTCAAGTTGGCTGTGTGGCACCCCGGCAGATGTTCAAATTACCACTCAACAATAGAGGGCTTTTTTCCCGAACTAGGGGAGAGTGAAGAGAGTTTGTGTGGATTTGGGCATTTGCAATGGGGGAAGCGTCGCTGAAAAGGCCACAGAAACCATTGGAGGCAGAACACAACGCATTTTTCCCCTTGTTGTGCTCCTTTTTTCGGGCCCTCTGCACTCTCTTCTCTCTCTCCTCCCGGTGTCCATATGGCAGCATTTTTGTCGGTTTCCCTTCTTGCACTCTCCCATTTCCCGTCGCCCAGCAGAAGCCCACTCTTGGGTGCCAGGCGAAGGGGAGGAAGTGAGGGCTTCAATTACATTTTCTCTCGCTCGCAGACGTGCTGCGCGAAACATGGAGGAATATTTTCGTGCTTCAATGAAACATAAAACGACTCCATGAAAAATTTGCGTGGGGAAAAAAAACGGGCAGCCTCAATGGAAACGGAAATCTCACATCGCACACGAAGTTCTTCTGCTCAGGTGAAGAATTTTTCTCAGAACACGAGACTGTGTGTGAGAGTGTGTGGAAACTAATGAGGTCTCAAGGAAGCATCATAAGAACCTCCATCAGATATGCTACAGTACTTGGCTATTTATTATTACACAAACGATAAATTTTCTCGTGTGACTGAGCTAATAATAAACAACGGTTTATGATAAGGGACTGACTTGGGAAAAAAGCTTCACGCCTGATAACAGGTTATCTCTCAATTATCCACCCTCTCACTCTCTCCCGTGCGTCGCATGGGAAAAGTACAGGCCGAGACTGCAATTGCGATGGGTGCCCCTGTGCGTGTTGTGCTTTTCCGAGGCCACCCTGTGTTTTCGTGAAGTGACGCTCTCATTTTAGCATGAAATCCTCTCTGCGCCGATGCCGCGCTGCTCTCTTCCTCTCTCACTCCCGCCCGAACGCGCTCTCTTTTCCGCCGCCGCCGTCGTCGTGGAAAAGTCGCGCGTCCCACTCAATCACGCGGCGGCCCCATCGCATGCTCTCGCTCGCACACACACACAACCCTCTGGTGGCTGATTTTCCAAATATCGAGCGAGCGCCCAAGAGAAGTTCGCCGAACAAAGCCAACATTGCCCAAGATGGCGGACGCAACGCCATCGGGAATTTTCACAATTTTCGCGACAATTACGTAACATGCCCAGTGGGAAATGCCACACAACCGACCCCGACTGGCCCCCGCGGGTTTTCCCCGCACGCTCACGGGGCCACTGCGTGATTTTCTTGCGGCCCCCCGGAAAATCCCACCGACGCCTCTGTTCCCCCGGCCCGTGACAATTTTCAATCACCTTCCTACCCCCATTGCACACATTTCCACGCCAAATAACTACCAAATATTCATACATGGGCTCTTGACTTACCTTAATTAGCACAGTCTTCATTTAATATCACAAACTTAATACTATTTGAAATTAAACAAAAATGGAATTACTCGCAATGGCGTCGTCCGTCTTATTCACGTCTCACACAGTGACTGACGAACACTCTTCGCCAGTGGAGGCGCCTCTCGCTTTTCGTCCGGTTTGTCAGCGCACTTCTTCGCTGGCCTGCACGCCACCTGGAGGCCGACACTCGTGGCGCAAGTGTCAAGAGAAGAGGATATTTTCTCTCTCTCGGTGGATTTTTCAGCAAATTTTCATGTGAACTCCCTCAAAATTCGCGGAAAATGCCAGAAAATCCTCTTCAGGTGTAATTTCGCGTCCTAATAAACTACTGACTATTGATTTTCAACAATTGCTATCCGTGCAGTGATACCGGAATTGCAGTGAAAAACTCCCCATTGTCGTATGCTATAGTCAAAACAAAAACAGAATATTATCAAAATAGAGGCAATATTTCCGCTGGAAAATCGTGAAAAGTTGTTGAAGGGAATATTTTGTTCAGTGTGTGGACAACTACACTTCCTGAGACTGACCACGGAGTGTCCTGTGAGTCTGAGAAAGTCCATCTTCTCCTTCGAGGGACTCCTTTGTCGCGCTAAGAAAAGTGCATTGTGCCATTTTCCGGGAGCTTCTGCGAGGAGAAGGAACTGTTCCTTGAGGTGCGAGACAGGGAAGGATGTGCTGAGGAAAATCAATAGGAAGAACAAAAGGATTGAACACGGAAAAGGCGAGATAAGCGTCTAGGAGGCGCCCACACCATTCGACAGGAACACAACGACGCAGGTACTTTGCAGAAACTTTTCAGTGAGACTGTTTCACTGACACTTTTCCTCTTCCTTTGCAGGTAAAGGGGAGACGAGATGAATTGTGAAGTGATCTGTTGATTTGATAATCAACTCTGAGTTCAATTCTTCCTATTCCGACAGATTCTGAGGGAAAATACTCGCAAGGAGTATTCCCAGATTCAACCAGAAACCTCAAGTGAGCTTTCATTATTAGTTCCCTATTGCACTCAACATCTAATGCACAATTTTATCTGTTTTAGCAGAGTTCTTTGAAGATAGAGCAACCGATTCTAGTCAAAGATGGACTCAACCTGGTCCATGATGCCACAACCAATAAATACAGATCAGTATTTCAGTATTCGATGGAATAACTACCAGAGAAACATGACTGCGATCTTCCACGAACTCCTGGAGAGTCAATCCTTTGTGGATGTCACCCTGGCCTGCGAACAGAACTCTCTGAAAGCTCACAAAGTGAGTCCTTTGAGTTTTCAACTTGCCAAATAGATAACTTATTTGTGTTTTCAGGTGGTTTTGTCAGCTTGTTCGCAATATTTTCGCAAACTCCTGCTGGAAAATCCTTGCGATCATCCAACAATAATTATGCCACAAGACATTGATTTCTCCGATCTGAATTTCATCATTAAATTCGTCTATCAAGGAGAAATTAACGTTACGGAGAGTGAATTACAAGTAAGATGCTTGAATAGATTAATATTATCATCAATCCTTAAATATATATTGGTTTGCGTCACCGCTATGAACTTGAAATCTGTTATACGACTTCTCTGTGGTAATTGCAATGTCCAGTGTAGAGGCACTCCTTTGATGTTAATTTCATCAGTTTTTACTCCTTTTCCTCCCTCATTTCCGGGGTGAAATTTCGCAGACAAAAATAGAGTGTATCTGACAGAATTTTCACGATAGCTCGTGAAAATGTAATCAATTTATACGTTTCCCATGGATATTTTTTTGCAGTCACGCTAATAAATCAAAAAGTTCAAATACGGGCGATACCTAAGGTGTATCCCTCTCAAGTTAATTATCAAAATGTAATCAAGGACTAAATTGAGTTATATCGTAGTGGTGTCTCTGTGTTGATTCAAACGCCAGAGGCTTGGGCGCGCGGCATGAGAGGAAAAAAAAGACGAAGAAATTTTATTTAAAAGTCCCTCTGCAGTGAATTTCTGCCCTAAATGTGCTCTGCCTCCTGTCCCTCGGTGCCTCTCAATTCTGGACGGATGGATTTTTGGGCGCGCACTGAAGAGGTGGAGAAGGGAAAAAAAGATATCGAGGTTTTATCGGTGTAGACGAAAAACGAGATATCTCGGGAGAATTCCTCGGGTTATCGCTGTGGTGGTTGTGCGGCTAAGCCACCGTGAGATTCGTATCATTCCGATGGTCTGCCAGGCATAGACAATGCTGATGAGTTTCTGGCCGCACGGCCATTGAGGTGAAAAATCTCAAAGTCGCGGTTTCGACCCGAAATTTTGCACCGAATCCTCCGCGGCTGGCTGAAATATTCCGTTTTAGACCACTTATCGGAGAGCTGAAGAATCACTAAATATTTGTATTGATAGACATGCTTCATTAACACTAGATTAATGGCATATTTGCTTGCCTTTCACTTCAACCCTTATTATCAGCTCAATAATAAGACGACACTATTATATAGTCTTGAAACAAAGTAAAGTGACTTTGTTTTCTGAAGATCACTATAATCATCAGTCTCAAAAGACTAATGAAATTTTTATTTTCATTAGACATATACAAAATTTGTTAAAATCAGTATAAAGAAAATATTTTACCACAAGAAAAGTGTTTACGAGTTGTCGATTGAAAAACAATATTGAAATTTTTTTACCATGTAGATATAAGAAAAGTATTGAGCCTTCAAATCATCAATTTGTTTCGAGTGTTGTTTAGACGAAAATTTTCGGTGTATTTAAGTGTGGAGTTCTTGGCAAATGTAAATTCATAAATAAGTTTTTCTTTCTCATAAACATCAGAGAAAGACGAGGTATTAGAACGCTTTTCTTACATTTTGAGTAATGAAAGTCATTTTCGTACATTTTCCCCCTGAAATATTTTTATCCGAAAATTATTATTTCCTGTGATAATTCACAAAACTTACCCGAAAAATACATTTCAGCGGTAAATTGTCATAATATCCAATTAGCAAAGCTGTATAAATGTAACTTCTTATACGTATGTATAGAAATATCCTCAAAAACAGACAATACTATATAGCTTAGCGGAAAAAATGTAAATGTAGTGTATTTGCATTTACTGAAACATTCGAATATCCCATGTTTTGTGCCCGGAAAAAATGGTAGAAATGAAAGAGACGGTGGGAAAAGCGAGAAAAGTACAGAGGCGTGTGCGGAAAAGAGGACGAAATGGCAGTTGAAAAAAAAAGATGGGAAAAATCTCTTTTAATTGCGCAAAGTATTTTCCATGTTCTCTCATGGCGTTTTTTTCTTGTGTTGATTTTTTCCGGGATTTGTGTGTGGAAGCGGAAGGGAGGGGATGCTTTAAATGCAAACTCCCTCTAATAGGGTTTTTCGATGTGGCGGCGAGAGCCTTTGGTTGGGAAAAGGGCGCAAGTCCACTGATGGGCTCCAATTTCTCCTAGGGCGCGCGTGTGTGTTTGCGAGAGTGTGTGTGCGGGTTTGCCATGGAGGAGCTTTGAGTTAATAGCTTCATTTGCAAGGATTAAATCCCAGAATATTCTCTGACAATTGCATATCCATCTCTGGCCTTTTATTGATGGGCATTTCCATCCATTTGTACGGAACGGAGGAGCTTGTTGATGCCACATGGAAGACTGTCGATTAGTGTGAGGAGGATTTCCATCGCTCAGGACCTGTGATGATAAATTACACGGGCTTTTCCTACCGTCTTCATTTGCAGCTTTTTGTACTTGCGAATATAGATGCTTCTCTTCGGGGCGAATCGCACATCATTCGGGGAATTCTTTCCTCAACTCCAATGCCAAAATGAGTGGCGTTTGAAATTGAGGGAAATTGTGGTTAAACTGGTAAACGGACATTTTCCTATTTTACCCGTAAATAATCGCCAGTGACGACAGAAAGGAATTAATGTAGGCAAGCTAGGATGGTGTGGGGAAAGTGGATATCGTTTCTTGGTTTCCTGTTGACTGACATTTGTGGTTTTGTTATTTGTTTGCTCTTCATGTTGCTGAATTCTCTTCTGTATCCTCTTACTTTCTCTATCTCTAATTGAAGTTTCACTTTGTGGAATGGGCGCATCTCGTGCTTGAAGATCGCAGTGTTGGAAAAATTTTCTACCCATTTTCATCTCATTTCTTCTCCCCAAGGCTTCTCAACCCTCGAACAATCAACTCTGCCATTGATTAAAATTAAAAGCAAAACTCTGTAATTTACTAATAAAGATTGATGGGGTGAAGATGTTCTGGTGGCTTATTGGGAGTCAATGTTGATATAAAAAGTCGCTCCACGAGCACTTGATGTTGAATTTGAGGGGCGGTGAGTGAAGGGATTCACGGCTTAAGCGGGGTAGAAAAGTGAGGTTTAGACGAAAGGTGACAAGCAGAGACACGAAATAATCGCGTGATATGATGCGAAGGAAGGGAAATTAAAATTACAAATCGCCAAGTTTCTTCATGACATTGAAATTCAATTGAAACACCATTTATTTATCGGTCAATCGACGGTCAGTGATGATTATACAATTTATACATATAGCAAGAGACTTTATGTTTAACCATATATGAGGAGAATGGATAAAATTCCCCAAAGGGGTTATCATTATGAGAGTGTTGTCGTCTTTTAAAATTTTACATCCATCAAGAGGGGTTCGTCGATTTTCCACTCACGGTTTGCATAGGGATTTGTTTCCTATCGACTTTTCCGTTGAGTGCTTTATTACAGAAACGTGTGTATTTCTGAGGGAATGGCTGTTGTGACTACCTGAAAATCTGCTGGGGATTTAATTCTTACGACCAATACTTGATGATGAGTCACTTGAAAAGCAGTTGGAATTATTTTCCATTTCGTCGTGACCGGCTAATGGAAGTCACAGAGAACTGTGGCTTTTAAGCTAAAAGTTTTCCCGTTCCACATTTCTGGCTTTATCGGGTCAAAAGAGGATGAAATCGAAAAGTTTTCTGGTGGATTTTTGTGAAGGGGTTTTCCGAATCAATAGCACAGATTCTAAAAAAAATATGCAATTGAAGAAGTAGAAGATATCTATAGGGAGCTTTTCGATGTTGATTTGTACTTGTAAAGCTTCGCAACTTGTTCAATTCCTAACCGGAACACATCATGGAAAACGAAGAGCTTTTAATCGTAAAATCTGGCCTCTTTTTTACACAATTCAAGAGTTTATCCATAAAAGTTCTTCTTATGTACAAATATACAGGAGAGTTTGAATGAAGTCATCTTTTAATGATCTTGAAAAGAAGAAGAAAATCACAATTTTTTTCAACTTTTAATGTAAATATTCTAAGGAATACAAGAGTTTGCTAAAGTGATTCTATGATTCTACAATGTTAAGTAAATCATATGGGGAATTTTCATTTTCACTATTATTTGACTTATATCTTATAAGATAAAATTTTTGTTTTATAAGATACAACGATTAGCATTATTTTGGAAAATACTTTTTTAACCGTTCGGTATTTGAGAGAAATACAATCCATAATTAAGTGACTCTAATTTATAATTTATATTACATAAAGTGTCATTTTCCGTGTATTTAAATCATTATTATTTGGTGTAAATGCCAAATTTTATTATCACTGTGTTCATTGAGGAGTCCGAGAAGTCTAATCAATTTCAAAATATACAATTAATTTTTGTACTCTGCGTTCTGCTGTGTAGGCTTGTGGGCACTTTTTGTGCCATCATGCGACCACACATCGCTCTAATCCGCTAACAATAAGCAATGACGAAAGACTGTCTCGAGCATATTGCGAATTTATTGCCCTCTCTCTCTCTCTCTCTCGCACTCTTCGTCACCCTGAACCTCATGAGACAAGCCTTCTCCGGTCAGAACGTCTGTGGTTCGGCGATTTCGTCAATTTTTGCGGAGCTCGATGAGTGGCCACATGATGTCAATGTGTGCTCGCAACATTATGAGAGAGGGACTCTCGGAGCCTCGTGACTTGCCCTTTGGCGTGAATCGCATCGACCTCGACAGCGGGAGACGTTCTCGGACTGTCTCACCCTGTCTCCCACTCACACCAGCGCAAGCGGGCCTATCCCGCGCGCGCTGCGACGGTGTGTGAGTGGTGAAGAAGAGAGTCTCAAAAATGCGGCCTGGAGAAAAATTCACCACGCAGTGTGCAAGCGAGAGAATGAATGCGCCGGCCGGAGCGGTGTGAGGGAGATGGCGCGACACCGCCATGGGAATGTCGTGAGCTTATGAGCTTTGCGGAATGCGTGTGCATGAATGAGATGGATATAAATTCTTTTCAATATTTCCAATATACAGAGAGAATAGTGTGTGATGTGTACTTCTTTGGAAACACGGGCAGATAGAGTGAGAAGGAGAGCTTGAGGGGAGTTTCGCGAGATGTCTCTCTTTCTCACCATCGCTAAGAGAGCGGACAGTGTGGCGTTGCTGGTATGTTTCTGAGCCGGCTTCGTAGTTTATCGTCGATATTCTTCACAAAATCAAGTCCAGAATAACATTCCCTTTCATTTCAA